ATTATCTATTAATTTAAGAACTACTTGATTGTTTTTTTTAATTTTCTATATTTTTAATTTAAATTAATGGAATTTATTGTTATAATAAGGATTAATTCATTTATATTTTAAATACCAATATTGTTTGAAAAATTAAATTAATTTAAATTTTACTATTAAAATTAAATGAAATTTTTATAAAAAAGCTTTTTATATATTTTTTTTAGTTTAAAACTAGTTTGTTTATTAGAATATATATATATATATATTTAACAATATAAAAAAATATTTAAATTAAAATATATATATAAATATTATAAAAATTAATATCAAAATGTAATATATTATTAATATTTAATTATTTTTTTATATATAAAATCTATTTAATTCTTTTTTGTTTAAATAATATAATATAAAACTATTTAAAAATTTAATTTTTGTTGTAATAAATATATATATTATAAAATATTAGTATTTTATTTCATTATTATTTTATGATATTTGTTAAAAAATAAAATAGTTTATTCAAATAATATTACTTTTTAACTAAAAAATATTTTAATTTTCTTTAACTATATTTTTTTCGCCATTGAAAGTGTCTATTTTTTATAATTCAGTGTTTATATTTTAATATTTATACAATAGATTATTATTTTTCTAAGTATCTTTATTAAATTTATATTTAGTTTTCGATTTATCTTTTTTATAAATTCTAATTTATTATTCAATATTTTCTTAAACTTGAATTTCATATTAATAAAAAATATATTTTTTTTCATTAATCATTTATAATCTATATAATCCAACATCTTTTTGTTTTGGTTTATAATAAATAACAATTTTATTATCAAAAATTTTATAAGAAACCCAATTAGGTAATTGAAAATTTCCTTTAGAACTATTTTTAATTCCCAAGCTTTCATAATTTAATTAAAAAGCAGTTCTTATTTTATTAATAAAAATAGAGAATATATTCATTATTACATAATTAAATTCTATTATTTTTTCCTTTGATTAATTATTTTTATTAGTATTTTAGCATATTATATTATTTTTTATTTAATTAAATTCTATTTTTTATTATAACCTTATTTGCTTAATATTTTTAGGGTCTAAATGTATTATTTATCCAAAAGAAGAATTTTTAAAAGAAGGTTTTTGTTTAATCTAAAAACCATAAAAATCAGCTTTAATACATTTTTTAATTAAATAAATGTTTATGTTTTTATTTATATCATAAGAATACATTTCATTTTAGAATAATTTATTTATAGTTTATTAAATATAACATATTTCAATTTAATATTCATTAAATATTTAATTGTTTTAATAATAGATTTAATTTATGATATTATTGTTAGTTTTGCGTGAAAAATATAACTTTTTTATTAAAAAAGAGATAAATAAATAATATTTTTTAGTCTTTTTACTAAATACCAATCAGCTTAAGGATTCGCTTATTTTGCGAATTTCACAATTTTTAAATAAATAGAAAAAGTAAATTTATCAAGTTTAATTAAAGATTTATAAAAAAAACACTTCAAAGCAATATAAACTATTTATTTTTTTTCAATTTAAATTTAATTATTTAGGCTCTTGTCTTTATTTTTTTAAATAGTTTTTAAATTTTATTACAATAATTATAAATCAATCTAACCAGTTTCCTATTTTATATAAAATTAAAGAAATTTCTCAAAATTAATCCCTTATTTATTATGATATTATTATAAATTTTTGAATAATTTAAAAGCTATATCATATACATTTGGAAAAAAAATTATAGCTTTTTATTAGTTTTTACAATTTATCTACAAATATTACTTTTAATAAGTAAATTATTTCATATTAAAAAAATTATAAAATATACTATTATAATACTGCAATAAAAATCCCAATAAACTAATACTAAAAAAAAATATAATACAATTTCTAATAATCCATCCAGGAATAGAATTAAATTTTATTATAAATTATGTATTACATTTATTATATCCATCAAAAGCTTAAATCATAATCGTATATTTTTGTCCGAGTGCATATTTTTATAAATTTCCAGAAAATTTTAATTCTTTAGGATGAAAAATTATCCAATTATTTCCTTCTTCTTCTTAATTTAATTTTATTGATTAATTTTCAAAGTTTAAAAAGGCCTATATATTAATATATAAAATTTAAAAAAAAGTTACATTAAATTCGATTTTCAAACTTTTTAAATTATCTAAAACTATAAGATCTATATGGAATTCGAAATCTTCAAAAACAGTTAACCCATAAGGAAAAATATAATCAAATTAATATTAAGCGTCATTATTTTCAAAACTAATAACTTTAAGAGGTTTAAAAATTTTGAAATTTTGAAAAATTTCTAATCTGCGTAGAGGAAAATTATTGAAATCATTAATAATAATTGTGAAAAAGTATTAATTAAAAGAATAATCATTCGAATAATAGATTAGTTATTGTTAAAGCATTTAATTTATATGATCTTTTTTTCCTTCTATAGTCATATAGGTGTCTTAAAGCTATAATCTTACAGTGACACCTAAGTAATTTTATTGTACAAAGCACAAACCACTTTCAGAATTTAAAATAATTTCTATAATTAAATTTTCAGAAAAAGTTAATATTATAGGTAAATTATTATTTATGAAATTATAATTTAAAAATAAAGAAGGATTAACTTAATATTAAATTGGATAATATATTATATTTTAATTAAACTATAATAATATAAAATCAATACATTAATTTTTACAGTGATTTTAAAAAACTCTATTTAAAATATATTTATTTACACTCTCTACACAAAATCCTTAATTATCTATTAAATTATGAACTTTCTATAATTTTTAATGTATTATATATATAATATATAAATAAATAAATATATAAAAATATATTTATATATATTATATATATATATTTATACTAATAATTCATATAACTAAATAGCTTTTATTTTACTAATAAATTTATTTTATTTATAAAAACTTTCTACCAACACTGGCTTTTACAATTTTAAAATAATTAAAATAAGTTTATTATTTTCTTCAATAACACTTTCTTTAGGTGGTTTTAAATTTATCATCAGCTTTTAAGAATCAAAACTAATCCAACTTGGTATATTTTATAACTTATAATTTTAATATAAAGCTGCATCTTTTATAATTAAATTCATATTTTAATAAAGAACATTTAATTTTAATTAAATATAATCCTAAACATATATATTTTACACATAATAATAATCATCTTTTTCAAAACTCGGTTGTAATTCCTTTATTTCAACTTATTCCATTACCTTAATCTAATCTTCATATTTGTTATTCATGTTAGTATTAATAAAGTGCATTTTTTCCATAATACAACATCGAATTCCTTTTTTATCAAGAATAATCAATAAATTTTAATTGTAACTAAATTTTATATCATATGCATGTTCTTTCCCAAATTTTAATTCTTAACTTTTAAAAAAATGCTAAGGTTAAGAATTTAAATTTATAAAAGATAACTACCCAGCATTTACTTAACAAACTATTAATAAATGTTTGTGTACATTCTGCTAATAAGTTTTCACAGCTTCTCCTTATATTTATATATTTTTTATAAATTAACTTTCATTATTACTATTAATAGAAATTATAGAAACTCCCTATTTACCGTTTGAAACGAATACATTCTTATAATCACGAATATCATATGCAAGGAAAGAGCAATAAATTAAAGGAAAATGTTTTAAAATTTAAATTTAGTTAGAATTTTATTCTATTAAAACATGTAAAACTCCATAATATTTTATACACAAGAATCCATTTGTATAATTTTAATTTAAAATAGCATATGTAATATTTCTTTCTATATTTAAAGAATAGGTCTATTATATTTCTATTTTTTGTTCTTAATTTTAGATTTTTAAAACTACCAAATTATTATAAAAACTGGTTAAAATAGTATTTTAATATTTATTATAAACATAAAAGCTATATTTATTTTAAAAATATAAACTTTTATCAAACTCAAATTAAGCAATTTCAAATTAGTTTTTTTTTCTATTCACTTCTAATAATAATGGAATATCCATATTTTTATAAAAAACAATAATAAGTTAAATCTTCTTTAAAAAAACGAATTTTATATCTTCACTTTTTACCTCATATTTAAACATAAATACAAAAGTAGAAATTTATTTATTCAACTTAAACATACATAATCCAATATTATTTACACTGACCAAAAATTATATATAAAATAAATTTTCATTATAAATTTCTATTTAAGAAAATTAAATATCTAAACCACTCCATAAAGGGTCAAAATTATCACTCAAAACACACAAATGTTTATTAAAAACATTTAAAACATGTTCAAATTCTTAATAATTAACAATTTCATAAATACTAAACTAATTAATATCAGTCGAAATAATAGAATGTTTATTAAAAATATTGATATGAATTGTCTATGAAATTTATGCATTAATAATCTATATTAATTAAGGATTATAAACATCATTTATATTATAAATATTTATTCCCTGAGTACCTACACTTACTGCTAATCTAGCTTCACTATAAAACACTATCATATAGTTAAGTTTATTTTAATAATTAAGTTTAGATAATAAAATTTATTATTCTTATTATTACATAAAATCAGCATTATTATCTATATACTACATATCAAGAATAGTTATTCCATCATATTCAGATAAACAAACTAAAGCTTGTGTTTTTATTAAAAAAATCGTTTATTTTCCTTAATAACATAAACTAAGCTCCTTAACTAAAAAAAAATCATGATTTTCATTTAAAGAATAAAATTGGATACCTTTATTATATTATAAGAAAATATAGTTTTTACCTATAAAATCGAACCAAAAAAATTTATTTTGGATTTATATGCTTTTAATTAATAATTATTATATTCTATTCTTATTCGTAATTTTTAATATTCCTACTTTATTTTATGAATAATAACATATAATATTTTCACTATTAAATATTATTATTTGCTCATATATTTCATTTTACTATTTCCATATATTTACTTAATATAATTATTATAGTTCTTAATCGTACCTCATAATTAAAATACTTTACATATTGTTTATGTATATGAATTTTTTTTTTATTATAAAATCTTTTATTTTAAAATTATATTCATTTATTTTATCAAATTTAGTTTAATCTAATATTACTAACTTTTCCTTAAACACCAGAAATAACAAATCTTTATATTTTAAATGTGTATAACATGAAAGCAATATTTAACCATATTTTTAAGTATTAAACTATACTAAAGGCTAATTACTAAAAATTTTAGTATATTAATTATTTAGTAATAAAAATAAAATAATTATAAAAAAATACATTTTTATTTATTTTTAATTATAGAATTTGAATGATTAAAATTACTCCTTTTCGTATTGGAAATAAAAAAATTATGATTTTTCTAAAGAAGAATAGAAATATTTAAAATAAATTTAATTTAAATTTAAAAAAAAATATATATAAATATTATATGTTCAATAATATTTATCTATTTTTTTTTAATATATAAAAAAAACAATTAATATAATAAAAATAATATAATTAAAAATATTTCAATTATTTTTATGATTAGCTAATCCGAATCCGACTCTATTATTATCACGATCATAAATAGAGTAGTATTTTTAAAGGAAAATATCTCCCTAAAAAAAAAATTAGATATTAAATATATATATATATATATATATATATATATATATATTTACCAAATCCAAGCTTATTCATATTAAAATCCATCTTCATCATTAGGAATATCAAGAGGCATAACTCCAAGTTAACAAATAGTCTTTTAAGTTCCTGCAAATGTGTATCCTTGTGTTAGTTTTTCTTCGATTATATATTCTTAAGGAGTAAGTGAATATTTATGACCATCAACAATAAAAGTTAGATCAAGATTATTTATCTAATATTTATTCGAACAATCCTCATTAACATTAATAAGTTCTAATTTATAATAATTTATGTATAAAAATATAAAAAGAAAAAATACCTAATAAAGTGAAAGCCTTCTATTCAGGTGCAGTAATCAAAGAAGTACCAGTATCAGCAATTAAATAACATACTTTGTCACATAAACCAACATCTTTTCCTCCTAAAAGAATATTATCAGCTTTAAAAATCCAATAGTAATCTTTCAAAACCTTATGATAATTAACTTGCCCAAAAACTTTACTTTTATCAATGCCTCCGATAGTTAATTAAGAATCATTTCTTCCTTAATTTTTGCTCATATAAAAAGACAAAATATTTTTATTTAATTTCTTTTATTAAATAATATTATCAAAAATAGAATTCTTATTATAAGCTGCCATACTAGGAAAAGCTAATCCAATAATTCCATCAAATTATTACTTAAAAAAAAATGTATATAAACTTATATAATTATTTATATATATATATATATATATATATATATATATATATATATATATACATATATATATAAATATATATAAATTTTTATATAATACATCTTAAAAAACCATCCCTATTTCTTCTCCAATTTCTATAAAATCTTATTTATCTATTTAAATTCCCCCAAAATAGAATGTATCTTAACTAAATTCACCTTTTAATTCTCCTGTTCCAAATTCAACATCTAAATGCAGATTTTCTCTTTCATAATTTTCAGATCTATCATGGTCATATTATTTTCTTTTTTTACAACCTTAATCTTTACATATTTTTGAGTTTATCCATACGTTAGCTGATCCTGTATCATATATAACACTAAAAACATTCTATGGATCTCCTATTGATATTTATCCTGTATATTGTGAATTCTTTATATTAGTCAAGCTTATACTTGCAGTTGTACTTGTGCCTGTTTTTGCAGTTTGAATAAATGATTTAAAATGAGAATTCATTTTTCCAAAATGTTAGTTTTTCATTATAAATTAATTTAATTTTTGCTTTTCTAAACTAGATATTTAATTTTTTTTAAAGAAATGTGATAAACATTATCCTCATGCGAAGATTCTTTTATTGTATTGTTTTCTTTTTTTAAATTTATTTATAATGAAAAAACTATTAAAATAAATATAGTTATAATTTTTTTCATTTTATTTATTTATCTATTAAATTATTATTTATTAGCATACAAATTATTTTATTTATTTGTTTTTTTTATTTTAATTTTTTTTAAAAAAAAACAAAACAAAACAAAACAAAACAAAAATAAAAACAAAAACAAAATTTGTTTCAATAAAAAGTATTATATTTAATATTATTTGTAAAAATGTATAAAGTAAAAATAATTTTAATTGTTTTTCAATTTAAAAAATTTTTATATTAATTTTATTTTATTTAGGTATTCATTTGCAATCAATTGTTAGAAAAAATATAATAATTCTTATTTTAGAAATAATTTTTTTTATTTATTTATAACTTTTTTATATAAACTTAAATAAAATGCTAAGTAATTTATATTTATAAATTTAAAATTAAAATTTAAAACTTAAAATATAAATTAATTTATTTATTATTTTATTAATATTTAAAAATAAATATTATTTTTTTAATTTATTAAACAATAAAAATTTTTAGTAATTAAATATCATTTTTTTTTTTAATATTTATTATATTTAATTAACAATTAATAATTTATTATTTATTATTTATTATTTATAGATACATATTTTAATTTTTCATTTATTATATTATGAAAATAAAAACATTTAATACTTTTATGAAATTTTTAAATCTAATAAATTTAATAAAAAAATTATAATATAAATTAATTTACAATAATTTTACTATAAAAAAATGAGATTTTTTTTTTTAAATAAAGAATAATTAATTTTTCATTACTTTATAATTTATTATAAAATAAAAGAAAAGAAAATAAAAATGATTATTTAATTAAATACTTAAAAATCTATTAATTTTTTTTTTTTTAATTTTAAAAAATTATTTGAGATAATAAATAAGTAAATTTATTTAATTTTTAATAAAGTAAAATAAATAATATTTTTTTAAAAAATAGATTAAATTATAGAAAATATTTAAAATAATAATAATAATTATAAAAAATAAAATAAATTAAAATTAATATGTAAACATTTATTTTTAATTTATAATAATTTAAATATTTTCATTTTTAAAAATAAAATTAAATAATACCAATATATAAATTATATTTATACTAGTTTAAAAAAAAAAGTAAAATAAAAATACTATATTGTAATTTTTCATTTGAACTATTTCAATATCAATTTTTAACAAGTAAATTTTAATCATAATCATATTTAATTAAAAATATTTTATTTTTTACTAAAGCTATGATATAAAAAACATAAGATTCATCTATATAAATACAGCTTTTTGATTCTTCTTAATATGAAGTTATTTCTAAAAATATAAAGTTTAATAATAACCTTGGATATTGTTATGTAAAACTAAATAATTAATATTAATATAATATTTCTTCTGTATAAAATTAAATAAAAAGCTAACTATAACTTAATAAAATAAAATAAATATAATATATAAGTTAATTTTTAAAATGCTAAAAGCCTTTTATCTGAAAAAAATATCGAATGCTTAATAAAGAAAGATTATCTTTTATTTATTTAAAAAATTGAAAACCTAAATAATTAATTTATTTTTGAATAATTAAGGTAATAACTTTATTACAATAGAAGTTAATTATAAATAAAAGATTCTCAAAAAACAATTAAATATGCTGATTTTTGTAATATTTAGTTTAAAGATTCCGACGATAAATAAAAATATGAACTTTTTTGTGAATAATTAAAAAAATGCTTTTATCTTTATATAAATGGTGATTATAAAGCTCTTAATAATAATACTGTTTTTATAAAAGATTGGGACGAGATATTGTCTTGTAGATAAGTTAGTTATAAATACAAATCTAAAAATGTAGATTTCGATAAAATAAACGATAGTCAAAAAATATATGCAAAAAATTAAGATACATAATTTTTAAATAAATAAATTATTTATAATAAATCTAAATATGTAATTTAGTTTATATTAAAACTTCTTGATTAAGAAAATATAAATTAACTAACAATTCCTGAAGGCTACAATAGCTTGATATTAAGAATAAAAGAAAAAAGAAAAAAAAAAGTAAAAGAAATATAAATAGCTAAAGTATATTTTATAATCATTTACATTTTAATTGTTTGTTTTTAAAATTAAATGAAAAAAATATGAATTATTTTTAATAAAATTCTAAATTTAAAAAGCTACACGAATATGTATTTGAAACATCTGATATAGAATCTGATTACGAAATACACAAGATTAATTTGATTAAAGAAATAATAACGAAGGTTATACTAAAATAAATTATAATTATAAATTAAAAAAATAATTAATAAATTTCCTATACAATCACTAAATTATAAGCAGTAATCAAAACTAGTTTATTTTAGGAAGATTCTAGATTGCATTAAGAAATTATAAGTAGGATAATTTGTTATTAAGTTTTGAAAATTTATATTAATAGATATCAAAATAAAATTTAGTAATTTGATAAAGAATATTAGCAAAATATATTTTTTACTTAGAAAAAAGAAAATATATATATGTATAAATATAATTATAATTTATATTAATATATTATATATATATTTTTATATATAATTATTTATTATAATATTTATTTTTTATAGTTATTTGTAAATTTTATTTAATAATTTAAAAATATTACTCTTAATAAAGAATTACTGATATTGATAATAGTATTGATATGGAAAAAAATTTTCTTTAATTTTTTCATAATAAATTTGAATTTTACTATTGTAATTAAATCTTTCATATTTAAAAAAATATATAAAATTAATTATTAATTGATAAAATTATTTATTATATTTTTTTATTTAATTTTTTAAATATAAAATAATTTTATTTTGCTATTAATTATTTTTATTAATTAAATTATTTATGTAAACTATAAAGCTAATTTTATATTTTAATATCTAATAAAATAAATGATACAAAATATTTTCATTTTATTTTCATAATATCATAAATTTTTTAAAAAATAAAATTATCCCTATTTTTAAAATTATATTATATATTAATAATATATTTATATTAATTTAATGTTGTAATCTTCTTTTATAATAAATCATAATTCAGATTTTGAATAAAAAACAATATATTTGACTTTTGACGATGGTCCAACTTAATGGACACCTGAAATTATTGATTTATTAGAAAAATATAATATAAAAGCTACATTTTTTATAAACAGTTGTGAATGGACAGGCACAGCAGAATATGCAAAAGAAACAAATAATTTTCATGGATTACTAAAACACGAAAAATTGCTATAAAAAATGGTAAAATCTGGTCATAGTTTAGGTAGTCATTGCCATTAACATTTTGATTTAAGAAAGCTTTCAGATGAGCAAATAATTTATTAAATTGAAACTTTCTAAAAAGCAATTGATGAGGTTTTCCAAAAACAATATTAAGCATGCTTGATAAGACCTCCTTTTGGCGGATGTGATAAAAGAGTTAATTAAATTGTTAATAAATATGGAGTTGTTTGCTTATGGAATTTAAATTCAAGTGATTCTTCTGAGTAAATTTTTAATAAAAATATATAATTTTTATATTTAATATATTTTTTTAATATATATATATAATAAAAATATAAAAGATGGGAATAAGGTGAATGGATATGCTATAAAGAAGGAGTTTTTAGACTTTCAGATAATTAAAAGGAAAATTTCCCTTTAAAATATGAATAAAAATGTTACAGGATTTATGATTAAATTAAGAATAAATGCGAATAAAATCCAAATTAAGGTCAATGTATTTTATTTCATGACACTCACAACACTTCTGTTGATATTCTTGAATAAGTTATTTAGTATTTGTTGGATTAATAATATCAATTTAAAAATCTGGATTAGTATTGTGAATGGAAATGGAATTTAAAAGCTTCACAATGTAAAGTTAAATGAAAAACATATTTATTTTTAAATAATTAATTTTATTTATATTATTGAAGTTTTTTTAAAAAAAATAAATAAAATTAGTTTTTTATTTGGAAAATAAAAAATAAATATTCTTATCTTAATTTTTAAATAAACTATCTTTTTATATTACTAAGTATAATATTAAAAGATTTTATATAACCTTAATGCATTTTAAAATTTTAAATTTATAAAATATATTTATTAATGTGTCGTTTTTACATATATACATATTATTAAGAAAAAAAAAATTAAGAAAAAAATAATAATTAAATTATTAAATAATTATAATGTTTTTGTTAATTAATATACTAACCATTTATATATAATATTATTGACTCGAAATATGTTTTTCTATTTATAAACAAAAATTTACTTCGTTTTTTACTATTCTTAAAATAAAACTATTTTACTATTATAATATATATATATCTTCCTTTTTAATAATATAATTTATATATTTCTAATTAAAATTTATGGTTTATTAAGGATTAAAAGTTTAATATTTATTTAATTCATGAAACTTATATAAATCTTGCTTATCTCTAATTTTTTAAAACCTAATAAAGAATCCAAAAAAATTAATGTAGTATTTTATGTTATTTAAAAACTTATTATATTAGAATTTTATTAATAAATTAAGCTTTATAATATAAACTTTTATCATTATTATCATATAAAAATTTATTTAAATTTTTTTGGTTTAAAAAAATCTAAATTTCATTAGTCTCATTATTTACAAATACATATCTATAGTTAAGTAAAATATTTGCTTTAAAATTAAATTTTTTCCTCAACTGTATTATAATTAATATCCAACACTGATATATTAAGTAACTTTTTTTAAAAATACATTACTTTATTCAATATATATATTATATAATTTAATATATATCTTATTAATATATAAAAATATACATAATAGTAATAATTATTCAATTATTTATTAATTAACTGAAAAACCATAAGTAAATTTATGAAGGTGGCTATCATTCTCAACCAAAAATACTCATAAAAAATATAAAAAAAAAAATTCTGTAAATTCTCGGTAAACAATTTAATAATCTTTCTTGTCTTATAGATTGTCTTATTTCTATTATTTATTTATTAAACTAGTTTTATTCTTTCTAGTAAATATAATTTTTGGTTTTGATAAAGGATTTAATATTTGGTATATTCACAAGGTACTCAAATATTTTAATAAAACATTTGATTTTTTTAAGTAAAGATTTTTATTATTGTAATAAATAAAGTAATTCAATATTCTTAATGTATTAAGGATTAATTTCAAGATATATTTTATATAACTTTTTGTTATAAAAAAGTTAAATAATATACTATTATTTTTTTATTTTTTTAATTATAAAAAAGTTAAAAAATATATTTTTTATTTTGTTTTATCTAATTCATTCTAAAAACTATCATTATATTTAGTAATTTTTTAATAATTAAATAATGATATCATTTTTTACAGCTATATTATTTGCTTTTTTTCTTTATAAACATGTATTATTTATTACTGGATTTCTATAATCAAATATCTGTTTATTAATTTTAGTTTCATTGCTCTTTTAACTTTATTATGTATTTTAATTATATTATTCTTTACTTTTAATGAATTAATTTTATATTTATTAAATAGTTACTTTAATTTATCTATAAAAAATTAATATAATTTAATTGTTTTATTTATATTCATACACTAGAAATTAGAAATTGTGTTTATGTTTAATAATTAGTTTTAAATATAATTTATTATATAATATAAATAAAAAATAATGTTTTATATTAATTAATTTATTTAAAAAACAAATTTTAATTCGATACTTTAATAAAAATTTTTCTAGTTTTTTTTATATTAGTTAGTTTTAAATTAATATTATAAAAAAAAATTTCTTTAACATTATTTAATTTTATAATTATTAATTACTTTATCAGAATTTCTTAAATGATTTATATTTTAAATTATTTTATAATAATATTTATTTTAAATTTCTTTATAGATATTTTTTAATATAAACAGTAAAAAATATATTTTAATTTTTGATTAATAAGTGAATCTTTATATTTATAAATTATAGTATTTATAAAATATTTTAATGTATAAAAATATAATTAAAATGAAAAAAAAATAAAAAGAAATATATTAAATTATAATATATATATATATATATATATATATATATATATATATATATATTTTAATTTTTAATTTTTTTTTTTTCTGCTAATAATACTAAACAATTTTTATTTTTTTACTAAAAAAGTGTTAAAAAAATACAAATAATTAATTTTGTATTATATAGTTAATTTAGATTAATAATATTATTTTTTAAAAAGATTTTATTTACAATTTAACATAAATAAAATAGTTTTTAATAAAATTGATATAAATAATTATCTTTTTTTAATATAATAAAGAGAAATTTTAAAAATCCATTAGTTATTTTTATTTTATAAAAATATTTATTATATTAAGAATTATAAAATTATTTAATACATAGCAAATTTAAAATTAAAGCTATATAAAAAATACAAAATTATTAAAATTAATTACTATAAAATTAACAAAAATAAATTACTATAACCTATACAATCAAAAAGACAAATAAGGAAAAAAATCTTTTATTAATATTTATATATATAATTATATTTATATTTATATATTTATATATATAAGAAAATAAAAAGAAATAAAATTACACTAAAATAAAAAAATATATAAATAATATAAAATGAATACTTTAGTTGAAAATTTAAAATTATGCTATAATAGTACAAACTAAAATTAAAGACAAGTAGCTGAATAATAATTAGTCCAAGCCCGTTTAATTGACCCTTAGAATTTTTTTACAGTATTAGTCCAAGAATTCATAAATAATAATAATGACACTTAATTCAGGTAATTTTGTTGCACTTTAATAAATGTTTCAATTCACACACAAGTAAATAGTTTATACAAAATAAAAAATATAAAAAAATTAATAATTAAAAAATAAAAAAAATTATTAATAAAAAACTTGATATTTTAACATTTATAAAAATAAATATACTTTAAATATAAATTAATAAAAAAAATAGAATAACTAAAAATAATTCCTCTGGAATACACTAGAAGATGGCTTAAAAGAAAGTATAAAAGCTTAACTTCTATAATAAATGGTTACTACAATTCCTTATATTCAAAAAGCTTGTGCAAACGTAAAAAAGAAAAAAATTCTAAAAACAAATAAAAAAAGGCAATATCTACAATATGTACTTTAGAAATTCCCCAAAATAAATGGACAAACCTCATCCCAGACCTGACTTGTAGCACTTAATAAAATAACGACCCTTAAATCCGCAAGGCTGCAATATTAACTCTTGGCTAGATTTGTGATAAATTTAAGCAACATAAATTAGGGACCACATTAGACCAAAAATCTAAAGAAAACATGCTTACAGGTATTCTTATTGGCCTTTAAGAGGACGAAAAAGATTTAGAAATAAAAACTAATTCTATAATAGCTCTTGGTGACTGTGTAGAATTCATGAAAGACATTTTTTCACAAAAAGCGGTAAGAGATTATTCCACAAGTGTTCTTTTATAGGCTTTATAAAACAAAAACGAAGACATAAAAAAACTTGCATTACAACGATCATCTGACTACGTCAAAGTTTTATACGAAGACTTCTCTGAATATATCCCAGCATTCTTAAATGCCACAACTTTAGCCATAAATGATCCAAATGAAGAAATGTCATGCCCTGCAATGGAAATATGGGCAACAATAGCCACTGAATATCACGAAAGAAGGGAATAAAACGAATAAGTAAACCGTATAGACTAACAAACGATTCCCAACCCGAATCATTTTGCCAATATATTCGAAAATTTAGCCCAATTACTACTAAAAAATCTCACTAGAAATTCAGAAGAAGACGATTTTGAATCCTAAGTCTAAGAAGGTGCCTAAAAAACCTTAGGAGCATTAGTAGAAGTTATTGGAGATCCTATAATACCTATTTTTACAGTTTTTATTTCCAATACAATTGCTGGTTAAGACTGGAAATATAGATAAGCAGCCTGTTTGGCTTTTTCTTGTTTATTAGAGGGAATTTCCAAAGGGGCTATTAATTAATTAATTTTAAAGGCTTTTTCTGAATTTGTTAAAACTTTACTTGATAAAGAAGAAAAAGTTAAAGAAAGTGGTGCTAAATTACTATAGAGAATTGCTGAATTTCACCCTGAGTGTATTTTAATGAGGGTTGGGTGGGAAAATGAATTAGAAGTGATTGTAAACGCGTTAAAAGATAAGGCTTTTGTGTCAAAATATATATGCAATTTTTTTAGTTTCTTAGCTGAAAATGTAGAAATTAATAAACAAAATGCTATTCTTAATCATGCTGATGTTATTATTTAAAAGTTAATTGAAAACGGTAAATTATTATTATATAATATATATATATATTTGTTTATATTTGTTTATATTTATTTATTTTTATTATATAAGCTGTTAGGAATGATATAAAATAACAAGATTATTTCCTTATAGAAAAATCTTTTATGGCAATTTTAAATTTAATACATTTCTCGAGAAATCCAATTTTAGGTAAAAAATATTTAGATTTATTCCTCCCTTAATTCTAAACAACATACCAAATGGTTGATGAAAGGAAATAATTTTTATAATCAGGAATATTATCAGCAATTCACGTAATATAAAATATAAAATATAAATATAATTAAAAATAAAAATAGGCCTGTGAATTAACTTTAATTGATAAATTAGACTTAAATACAGCCAATATGATATTATAATTAACAATATCTTACTTTTAATAAATAAAAAACGTAGATAGTGATGGTATGTATTTGATAAGTGGTTTAGCCTAATGTATAGGTCCAAATTTTAATAATTACATAGATTAAATATGGCCATTTATAACTCACGCATTAATCGAAAGATAATAAGATTTAGATTTATTTAAAACATGCATGGGAACAGTTTCAGATATTTCTAGGGCTATAGAAACAAAAATAAGTTCTAAAATTGAAATTTTAAATATTTTATTAAGTTTACTTGAATCTCCTACTTTTGATAAATATAATAAATTGCATATTTTTAATTGTGTAGGAGATATTTTCTTAGCAGCTAAAAATCATGCAAATCCTTATTTAGATAAATTACTCAATTTATACGATATTGGATTTGTCGCTTGTTAGGAATTCTAACTGTCTACAGATTAAGAATTATAAGACTATGGGGAATAACTTAAAGAGAGATTAATCGAATCTTATATTTTCGTTTTACATGGACTTAATGATGAAAATTAAAATAAAAAAATACTTAATAATACTCAAAAAATAGTTCATTTTATTAAATAAACATCGGATAAAAACTTACATCCTACAGTGGTAATTTTTTTCTTAAATTTATATTATTTTTTTATTAAATTTAATTTAATTTAATTTAATTTAATTTAATTTAATTTAATTTAATTTAATTTAATTTAATTTAATTAAATATTATATATAATATATATAACTATTAATATATTCATAATTAAATATTTTAAAATATATTATAATATATATATATATATATATATATATATATATTTATATATATATATCTATTATATATATTTTATTTATTCATTTTTATTATTTTAAGGATTATATTAAATATTGTTTAACTTTGCTTGTTGATATTGCTAATTTCTATAAAAAAGATGTTAGTGGACTTATAAATACTGATTTAACTAGAAACTTAATTTTAATTTTAAAAAAATTCGAGTAATAATAAGATGTTTTGGATTTAATTAGTTATGCTGAATAAGTAGTTTTATATATTTTTTTTTATTTTATTTATTTTAAAATATTATAATTAATAGATACTAAGAGAAATTTGATAAATAATGCATTTTTTTTTAATTATATAAAAAAAGAAATATTATTATATTTATTTTTTTGTTTTATTTTGATATATATTTTTTTTTTTAATTTATAAGTTTATATATTTAAAGATATTAAAATTATTTAAATAATATAATATATCTTTTTTAAAAAAAAATATTATATTTATGTATAATATTATATATCTTAATTTTTTTTTTTTAGAATTTTATATTTTATTTTAAAACCATAACATAAAAATGAAAATAAAACCAATATTATCTTTTTTTATAAAAAAAAACTCGAAATTTTTTTCTTTTTTTGTAAATTTTAACAAAAGTTTAATTTATTTCTTATAAAAATGCTTAATTTTTTTTTAATGTATATTTTTAAAAAATTAAGCATCGTATTTTAAATAATTTTTATTTTCTATTCTATATTACTTTTTACATTTTAACTTTCCCAAATATTTCTCCCGCCAATAATTTTGATTAAATTTTGTCTAAATTTACAATAATTTCTAAAAAATCAAAAAATCTTAACTTAAAAACATACATTAATTATGTACGTAGTACATAAACTTTATATAATTTTTTTTTTCCCAAAGAAACTTATACATCGAATTTTATACAACTACAAAGTTCTTTTAAAGGATAAAAAGAATATCAAAAAATCAATTCTACACAACATATTTATAACTATTATATTTCACTTTTATTTATTCTTTTAAGCAAGATATCCTTATAAAGTTAAGTATTTAGGAATTTTATAAGACTTTTCAGAAAACAGAAACTTCAATTCCATTTATTATAATCAAATGAAACTTATAAGTAAGTAAAGAATTATAGAAATATTAACTAAAAACTTATTTTTATTCACCTTTTAATAAAGATATTTATTTGAATTTTTCTTAGTAATTTTAATTTGATGGAGATATAAATTTTATGAATTTCTGAAATCAATATATTAATATTTTACATTTATTTTTAATAAAAAATTAATTATTTAGAGTTTTTTTCTTTTATAACATTAAAAAATTAATTTTACAATATTACCTATTTTTTGAATAATAAAAAGATATTCTTTTATATTTTAAAGCCTCTTAAATTGATTTTTAGAATTTTTAAAAAACATGAAAAAGCTAATTTTAATACTAAATTTAAACGAAAATTGCAGAGTTTTAATATATTTACTTAAAAAATACTTATAAATACAATAATAAATATATTATAATAAAAAATAATATCCAAATCTTAATAAATGAAATTATAAATAAAAAAATAAGATGTATTTTTTAATATAAATATATATATTTTTTTTTCATATCATTTCAACCAATATAATGTAGTCCCTTTATTTTTATATGCTTTTATATTATTTTATTATATCATAAATACTTTATCAAAATATAAAGCTGATTTTTCACATTATTTTAATTAAAAATACATACATCCAGTTTATTAATAAGCAAGTGGGAAAATCTTTATAAATTTAATTGGCTTTTTAAAAAATTCAATAGATTCCATTAATTTGAGGAAAGTAATTAAAAAAAATATTTCTTATAATGAAACAAAGCCTAAAAGTTTAAAGTATTTTATTAGATTTTTATTTCTTGATATATAATTTATTTTTATATTCATATATTAATTATTTATAAAAAATTTTTGTAAAGATTATTATTAATTGTATATTATGACATTGTTTTATTATAATATAAATAATGATTTAAAATAAAATCTACATAAATATTAAAAATATATCTTTAAATTTATAAACAATATAATAATATTATATCAAATTTTAATTTATATTATATTAAAAACATACGAATTTTATTTCTTTATCAAATTTATAAAAGATATATTTTATAATATTAATTTATTATTATATGTAATTATAATAATTTTTTTATATATAAAAGATTTATTTATTAGATATTATTTTTATTAATATTAATATTTTTTAAATCTTTTTTATAATTAAATTTAATAATTATTGTATATACTTATATTTTTTTTTATAATATTTAATTTTATAAAATTATATTAGCAATATTTTATTTGTTAAAGTTTGAAATCAAAAATCTATTTTTTAATTTAAATGAGTTAAAAAAAATAACTTGATTATATATTATCAAGTAAATATTATATCAGTGCAAAAGTATATTTTTTAATAAAGCAAAAAGTAGCAATTATTTAATAAATAAAGCATCTAATTATTCCGAAAAAACTCTAATTTAATGTTACAATTAATTAAAATAAATAAATATTTTTTTATTTATAATTATTAAAATATAAAAACTTATATACTAACTCCTTTGTTTATACTAAAATTTTTAAATTAAAATATTAACCTTTGCTAGCAATTATGTATTTTTTTTTTAAAAAAAAAAAAACTAAAAAATAATCATAATAATATATAAATATAATCTAAAATAATATATGGAATAATAAGATTAAAGATAAACCTTAAAAAAAATAAAAAAATAGCTAATTTATTTTAATATGAAACGAATGCAATAAAAAAATACTTTGAATAAACACAAAAACTCTAAAATCAAAATTATTATAAATTAAAGCCAATAGACTAAAAAAAATTAGAATAAAATAATTCAAAAGAAATAAAAGATTATGAAAAAGACGAATATTTTTTTAGCCAAAAAAAAGCATAACAAACTTAATTAATTTTCCTAAAATCAAAAATGGCAAAAAAAAAAAAACTCCAAACAATAAAAGGTTTTTTAAGAAATGAATGAAAAGGTTTGTCACAAACAACAGAATAAATATAATTTCATTATAAATAAAAAAGGGAAGATTTTCAGCATTATTAATTAATTCTATACATAAAAAAAATAAAAATGCAATAATATAATAATTCAAATACACAAAAAAGCATCTATTCAAATTTCCCTTATAAAGCACATTTAAAACAATTCTCCTATAAACACTTTATATAAAACCTTACAAACGGTAACTATATAAATCTCTAAAAGTCCCTATTCCACATTCTAGAGAAGAACCACAGTCTATTTCAAATAATTCTTAAATTAAAAAAAATTATATAATCTGTATGAAACATGCACTCATATTTATACTTAACAGACGTTTTCCACACTATAATCAATGAAATCTTTCAAATATTAAACTGCGATCAAGCTTTAGTGTTTCTCATCGACCTTCGCCGAAATGAACTCTGGACGAAAGTGACCAAAAACTCAAAATATATTCGGGTGAAAATCATTCAAGGAATAGTTAGAGTTGTAGCCTAAAACAGAGTAATATTAAATATTTTAGACACAAATTAAGGTGAGAGGTTCAATAGAGAATTAGATAAAAGAAATAGCTATAGGACAATGTCTGTTTTATGTGTTCCTATAAAAGATTAATAATATATTATAGGATTACTTTAAGTTATAAATAAGCAATCAAGAGATTTCTTTACTAAATAAGATTAGTGGCTTAGTTAAGATTCTGACTTAATTATCAACTGCAGTTTTGAAGAGTCCACTATATCATTATAAAAGAGAAGTTTTTCATAATTGTCTTAAAATTCTCGTGGATTTCAGTCTAATTCTATCTTAGTGTACTTCTATTTAGAATTTATAGGTTAAAAATTAAAAAAAATCATTAATAAATTAGATACTTTTATTAGGCTATTTTATGGTTTTATGATATTTAAGAAAATAAACTCGTTAATTATTATATATATGAAGAACATAAATTAATAAAAAATATTTCAGATATAAATGTGGGAATTATTTGGTATTTTTTTTGTAAACTCGAAAAGCGAAATTCAACTAAAATGCTACAATAACTAAAAATTTTATTCTATAATAGATATTAATACTTTTATGCTGTACTTATTATGATTAATTAAGAGTAGTATTCTGTTAATAGATTTTTAGAAAAGAAAAAAATAGGAGCTTTGCAGTTTGTTGATTCTAAAGGTCTTGAAAATGAGTATTTAATTAAAAAGAAGATATAGAAGAGTAAAGTGTACTTTTTAAGAAAATACGGACGATTTTTTGTTAAATTTTAGGAAACTTTATAATAAAGATTTTGGAGTAATTTTTTGTATTATTTAATTAATTATTATATTAGAATGTATTTATTTTTCTTTTTCTTTTTTTCTTTTTTTCTTTTATCTTTATTTTATTTTAAAAAAAAATGTTAAGCTAGATTTGGCTTAAAATATTTTTTTTTATTAAAAAAAAAATTATATTTAATAAATTTTCTATATGTATATAAATTTAATTAAAAAAAGAATAATTAATTTTTTTTATATTTTTATGAATAATTAAAAACATATAAAAAATAGTAAGTAAAATAGAAAAAAAAATAATAATAATATATATGCAGTTAAGCTTTTACAAAATAAAAAAATCATTAGTGCTACTATTAACAGTATTAATTTTCTATTGTTTAATTAAAATTAATAAAGTCTGATAAATTATTAACAGTTTTTTAATTTATATCGATATGTATCTATTCAATTTCTTCAATAACCTATTCCAATTGCATTCTGTTTTTCGGATTTTAATGCATCATCCTTATAATAATACTAAGTAATTTATAGACATTATTAATTCCTCCACATTCTTATTCAAAGTCTTTTCTAAAATATTTTATTTAATTAAATAAACCTATGACGTCTTATTTAATAATATATTTATATATAGGATCTTTCATTTAAGGTTTTAAATATTTCTTAGGGTATTATCCAAAAATTAAAACGAAAAAAGTAAGCCCTAAAGAATATATATCAGCCTTTTATAAATCTATATTTTACTATAAATCATCTTCAAAAAAATAATGAATTTCGGGCGGTTAATATAGTAAGTTTCTTTTTTAAAAAATTTAATTGTAGTTCAAATCTCTCAAAGTAGAAGCATTTCCGAAATCACCGAGTACAAAATTAATATTAGATTTAGTATTTATGAATATATTTTCAATTTTTATATCATTATGAGCAATATTAAATTTATGAACATGAATTAATGCTTATGATAGTTATTTTATAAAAATTCAAATAGTGAATATAGGAATTCGATTTTAATTTAGTTTTAAATAATTAATTCCATCAAATTCATATTTCTAAAATTAAATACATTATATTAATTAGTCTTTATTTAATGGATGAAAAATATTTTTATAGTATTTATAAAGTTTAACTATATTAGGATGAATTGGAATTTTATGTTTTAAAATGTTATATTCATTTATTAGTTAATTTATAAGTTAAGTATTTTGGATTAAAGCAATTTTAAAAATAAATTCTTTATCCTACTAAAATATAATAGAATATACTTAATGTCCATAAATATTTTATTATAAAGCACTATATAATTTTTTTTATAAATATGTAAAATATATAAATATATATATTTTATGTTTATTTATATATTTATTTATTTTATTCAATAAAATTATATAGAACTATATTTTTTATTTTTTTTAAATATATTTTTATAAATTTATTTAACATAATTTTTTTTTATTTATTTTTTCGATTCTATTATTTTTAAATTATTTATATTGTATTAAAAATATAATATATATATTATACATTATGTTCGTTATCTTTCTTTATTTCATTATATTTATTTTTATATATTATTATTTTTTAAATTCTTTTTTTTTTAATTTTTTTTTTTAATTATATTAAAGATATAATTTATAAGCCTTATATATAAAAAATTATATGGTTATATTTTAAATAAATTAATAATTAAATTTAAGTCAATAATTAAAATATATAATAAAATAAAACAAATCAATAATTTTAAATAAAAAAAACATATAAATTTTTAATTTAAAATATAAAATTAAAAACTATTTTCAGTAAAATTTTTATTTTTTTAAAATATTTTTTAAATGTATTATATTTAAAATATTTTATATTATATTTATTTTATTAAATATCAACTAAAATATTTATACATACAAAAATAAAATTTGTATTTACTTTTTATTTTAATTGTTTAAATATTATTTATATTATATAAAAAATTTTAAAAAATTATGATTAAATTACATATTTTTATATTATTTAAATATTATTATTTTGTTAATATATTTTTTTTTATATATAATGTTAAAAGATTCATAAATAACTATTTTTTATATTAATTATTTTATAAATAAATAATTAAATATAATTTTTTAAAATTTTTTATATATTATAATCGTATTATTAATTAATTCAAAAATTGATTAAATTAGATATTTATTTAAATTTAAATAATTAATTTAATACACATTTTTTTAAAAAAATCAAAAATGTAAACATTTAAATTTAAAAAACAAACGTATTTTTTAATTTAGAAGATATATTTTTATTAATATATAAAAACTATAATTATTTACTTTTTAATATTAAATATAATTATTAGAATTTTAAGTTTATTTTATTTATTTTAATATTTTTATTTTTTTTTGCATTTTTTTTTAAATAATTTTAAAATTTATAAATATATTAAGAAAAAAATAATTTTATATTTTTATTTCGTTTTTACTATTAAAAAATAAAGATAGATATATTTATTTATTATTATTTATATTTTATTATTTATTTCTTTTAAAAAATAACGTTTTATAATTATAAACATTTATTTTTTTTATAAATAATTTAAATCTAAAAAAGATTTTTTACATAAATATAAGCATATATATATTAAGAAAAAAAAAAAAATTTAAAAATATATTTTTTAAAAAATAAAAAAATATGATATCTTTCAAAAATATAATAAAAAAAATCTTCCAGAAAAAAAGTCAAATTCTCGAAGACGAGGAAGAAAATATAGTTTATAGACCCGAAACAGACATAGATACATAAAGAAAACGTAATTAAAAAGACAAATTTGACGAAGATAACACTTTTATTTAAAAAAACCAACAACTTTTTGAAAAACTATGCATTTTATTTACCATAATAGCACTATTTATAGTTTTAGTAACTATTATAACTATTATAATGTCCACATTTAATGTCCAGAACTATATCAAGAACAAATAATTTTCCGAAAAATACCTAATAAAACCGAAAAACGATGATATAAACAAATACAAGTTATTAGTTCTCCCTAATAACATCTAAGTAATGCTTATAAATAATAACTAAACTTAATTCAGTTCCGTAGCTTTGGATATAAAAGCCGGAAGTTGGCTCGAATAAACAGATACTCCTGGTTTAGCACATTTTCTGGAACATATGTCATTTGTATAATCTGAATAATATCCGGAAAAGTTTTATTTAGATAAAATATTAAGTCGAAACGGCGGGTTATCTAATGCGTAAATTTTTAAATAAAAAAAATTATATATCATTTATTAAAAAATCATAATTCATTTATTTTTTAATATAATTTATTTTGAAAAAAAAAATATTACAGAAAAATTAAAAAAATAATATTATATAAAAATATATACAAACAAATATATTTATTAATATATATATATATATATTTATATATATTAATATATATTTATATATATTTTTATTTTAGATTTACCACAAATGATCATACAAACTACTTTTTTAAAACTAAAACTAGTAGTTTAGAAGAATGTTTAAAAGTATTTGCAAATATGTTCATTTCTCCGATTTTTAATGATGAAGTTATTTAAAAAGAAATAAAAGTAATAGAAAATGAATATTAATTAAATTTAAATTAAGATGAATTTAAAATTAATAAATTATTAACTTTATTATCAGATTAAAAATCACCATTTAGTCGTTTTAGTTTAGGTATATATATATATATATATATATTATATTATATATATGTCTTTTTTTTTAGGCAATTAAAATAGTTTATAAAGTATAAATAATTTATAAGAAAGATTAAAAGAATTCTAAACAAAATATTATGTTGGAAATTTGATGAAATTAGTAATTTATTCAAATGAAGATCTTGAAAAACTCTAATAATATACATAAATATTTGCTTAAATAAAAGATTAACCACAAAATTCATAAAAGCCAGATTTTTCTATATATGGAAAACCCTTAAAGGACCTCGGAAAATTAATAAAGCTAAAATTAAATAGCGAAAACACTCATTTATATTTAATTTATTAACTCAATATAGATAAAAAGGCCTTTAAAAAGCGAGCTTTAGAATTCCTAACTTATTTCCTTGAAAATCGTACCGAAGGTAGTCTATATTATGAATTAAAGGAAAAAATAACTGATATAAATACCTAAATACTCCTACAAGAATCTAAATATGTATTATTTTAAATAACTTTCGTTTTAAAAAAATAATAAATTTAAAAATACAATGAAATAATAAACTCTTTTATAAACTACATTCAATTTATTAAAGAAAAAGGACTTATAGACACTATATATCACGAAAGAGCTAAAATTTCTGACCTAGAATTCACATATAGACAAAAATAAACTTTTTCTGAAAAAGATGTTTCTTAATTTGCATTTAATCTAAATACTTTTAATTATAAAGAAGTCTTTGTTGCAGATAAAATCTTCCAAGAATAATTCGATAAAAAATATGTTTCTTAAATAATTGAATAAATATAAGATTTAGAAAACAATTCTCTTATAATACTCGGTTCTTCTACTTTTGAAGAAGAAAATTCACAAAATAAGGAAAATAATGAAAACACAGATGATTTCTTAACTAATGATATATTTGAAAATGAAGATTCCCTATATAATATATAATATAGTGAAATTAAACTCACAGCTGAATAAATAGAAAATTTGTTAGAAATAAATACTGAAAAAGCCAGTAAATATACTAAAGAACCTAGAAATACATATGTTCCTTTCTAAACTAAATTGGTAGACATTTGTAATTAAAATGATATGTTAATAAATGAGGGAAATATATCAGGTTTATAGGGAGAAAAGTTAAGTTTCGCCTTTTAGAATTTCGATTATAATCCAGACTCTAATGAAGAATGTCTTATTGAAGATTTCTTATAAACAAAAAAAAATCCTTCCTTAATTAAATACGAAAATGGCATTGAAGGTTGGTATAAATTCGATTAATATTATTAAACTCCTAAAAATTTTGGCTATTTTTCCATTTAATTCCCTGAAAGATAAAACGATATTCAATAGGTCGCTTCAGGGTTAGTTTATGCCACTCTTTTTACAGAATTTGTTTCCGAATAGTTATTTTCGGCTATAGAAGCTGGTAATAAGATTGATATTTCATACCAAATGGCATCTTTAAAGATCAAATTAATCGGTTGGAGTGAAAACTTCAAAGAATTAGTACTTTCTTTATTCACTATTTGGGAAAAAATGGAGCTTAACGAAGAAAAATACATACTATCTAAATCGAAAACAATATAAAATTTATAAGAAATGAAATCGTTTACAACCCTTGAACAAGGCGAAAAATTTTTCCTTCCAAAATCGATTTTCGGTACTTTTTACGAACTTGAAGAAATAATAAAAAGTGTACAAAAAATAACGTTCGAAGATATAAAAAATAAAAATGATAAAAATAAAACAAAATTGGTAGCTTTTATCGGAGGTAATATTTAAGCTAAATAAGCTTAAGAAATCCTTAATGAAATTCAAGATATATCTAGTTTTAATACCAATAATTAAGAATATTAACCTAAATAAAAAATACTTAAAATATAGCCATCTAATACATATTAAATAAGGTAAAAATAAAAATATAATTACATCTATATAGAGATATAAATTAAAAAAAAATTAAATATATTAATATTGATTTATAAATATAAATATATATATATATATATATATATATTTATTTATATATATATTATTTTTATATTATTTTAAATATTTAAATATACTTGTTTATTTATTTATATACATATATATATATTTTTTTATTTATTTATTTATTTAGGTAAAAAGTAATTTCTTAAAAAGGTAATTTAAATAGAGCTATAGTAAATTATTATTAATGTGATATTAGAAATAATATAGATTTAGCCAAAATGAATATTATAATTAATAATTTAGATACTTTTTTATATGATTACTTAGGTACTGAATAATAATTAGGTTATATAATAGAAAGTAAATTAGTAACATATGGAAATATAGATGGTTTTTTAATAAAAGTAATGGGAGATAAGAATAAAGTGACTGAAATGAGTAATTATGTAAATAGGGCTTTAATGTATTATAAGTAATAAATAGAAGTGTATATGAATAAATATTTTGAAGAAACTAAAAAGAGTGTATTAGCAGTTTTAAAAAGCCGAAAAAATTCTTTAGAGGAAGATTTGGATTTCAATATTTAATAAATAGAGTAATTTAAGTTTAATTTTTTCGATTTAAATGATTTTATTTTAAAAGTCGAGAGTTTAACAAAAGATGATGTTTTGGATTTTTTCGAGTAAATTTTCTTTGATTAGAAAAAATTAGTTTCAATTTAAGTACATAATTATAATGATAAAATCGTTAAAACTTTATCAGAAGATGATAATATTTCTAATGATTAAATTAAGGTCGTTTTGGATATAAATAAAGATATGGTTGGACTTGAATATTATGAGGTTGAGGCTGATTTGTATTGATTTTTATTTTTTTTAATTTTTAAAATTAATAATTAAATTTGTATTTTTTATTTTTTTTTTATTGTTAATTTTTCTTAGATATTATGATAATATTTTATTTTTATTTTCCAATTTTTTTTTGTTAAAAATAAGATTTTTTTATTTTTAAATAAATTTATACATAAAAAAAGATCTTATTAATAAAAACTAATTAAAAAAATGTTTAACAAATACTAATTTGAAGGTAATTAAAAAACAAAAAACATATAAAAATGATAATAAAGATGGTAAATTAAATTATAAAGAAAAATAAACTGTAAACACTTAATTTGATATATTAAAAAATTACGTATTTAACAGACAATCATCAATACCAAGAATAATATACCATACATTTTTAACAAGTTTTAAATTTAAATATATATAAATATATATATATATATATATAAAAAAGCTGGATTTGGTTTCTTTTTAGGAATGGGAAAAGCAATTATGTAAGATGTACCTAAAATGTCAATGTTGCCAAAACACACATTCGGAGCTTTTGGAATTAGTTTAACATATTTTTGTAAAATAATAATTTTTCTTTATTTACAAATTTAATCTTGAAAAAAAAATAAAAAAAATAGTTACTAATGAAATCGCTAATAGTTACGTAAGAAGAAATTTTGGAAGAGAATATTTGTTTATAAACAATACAATAGCAGCTTTAATAACTAATGTTTTAACATTTACATTTTTATGTAATTATATAAATATATAACTATAAAAATATATAAATATATGGATATATAAATGTATAAATAAATATATATTTATATAAATATATAAATACATAAATACATAAATACATAAATAAATATAAGATTCAAGAAGTGGATAATTAATACCTAGTTTATTAAGAAGTTCAAAATATAGTTGGTCTTTGGCATTGTTTTCATTAGTTTTTGATATTTATATTGTTTTAAAAAGACACATGATATTAGAATAAGGAATCGATTATAAAATACCGGGTATATAAATTATTATTAAAGAATAAAATCTAGACGAAGTATCAGGATATGAAAAGCTGTTAGAAAAAAGAAAAAATGCGTATAATGGATTCTTAAAAGATGAAGATAAAGCAAACTTTAACTACTAAGGAAAATTTAGAAGTATTGAATAAATTAAATCACCAGAAGAAATAAGAAAAGAAGTATAATAACATATATAAAAAGTATTAGGCTAATAAAAAGAAAACAAAGTAAATATAAATGATAATAATTAAGTATAATTATAAGATAATTCACAAAAATGAAAATTAAAAAAACACTAAAAATCTTTTGAATATAATTTTATTTAATTATAAAAAAGAAATAATACGAAATGATTAATATGTATATATTTTTTATATTTTTAATATTAAAAATAATAATTATAAATATATATTAAAATATATATGTATTTAATTAATAATAATAAATATATTATATATATATATATATTTATTAATTATAATAATATTTATTTTCAATCAAATTTTAACTTAAACTCATCTTACTCATCTTCATTATCATTACTACCATCAGACTAATAATTATTCGTATTAGCGGCCTCTTTATCAAAATTAATATTACTATTTGTGGCATTATTATAGCTATCCATATCTTTCTTTTGAATATACTTTTATTTATAAATAGGTTTTTTCTTTTTTCTTACATCCATATTAACTTTTTAAAATTACATGTAATAATCCAAAGTATATTTTTCTTCATCATCTTCAATAATTTTTTATTCAATTTTAGGCAATTATGTATAGCCAATTGTATTTATTTATGTGTTAAATAACGAATTTACTAATTTTTAATAATCTTCATTTGCTTCTTTTGCTGTTTTTCTTTCTTTTCTTTTAAACAATAACACATCTTATAAATCTTCTCTATCTGTGTAATCGTTTTCTGCTAAGTTTTTTTTTATAATTTCTATTTTATCCCATCTTGTAGATTTTTTTTTAACTTTCTATATAAAAAAAAATATTATATAAATATATAAATATAAAAAATATATAATATATTATATAAATATATATTAATTTATTTAATTATTTTAAATATAAAAAAATACAATTCCTAATTTATTTAATATCTAATCAATATCATCTATATTTAATTTTCTTAAATCTTTTTATTTTTATCCTCCATCATCTTCTTCATCCGCATTTTTTTCTTCTTCAATTTCTTCTTCATCTTCCTCTTCTTCTTACTTATTATTTTTCCTATTTTTTTTTTTTAACAAAAATTATCATTATATAAATAAATAATAAATATATACCTTTTCTTTAATGGTTTTTTAATAAAAGAATACCCACCATGTCCTCCTGTGGGATCCCCTAAACCTTATAAAAATAACTTACTTCTATCTTGAGTAAAATTCAATGATAAAGTCCATGGCGTTAAAAAAAGTTCATCATATATAAGTTTCGCTATAGTTTATCCTTTTAAATCATACGGAAACTTCCTCTCATAACAATTTAGGATATTTTTTAATTTATCAGTTGTTCTAAACTATTATAAACCGAAATAATCCTATAAATAATTCACATAAGAAAGCATTTTTTCGAACATACAGGCTTTTTCTGGAGTCAATTCCGGTTCTAGCATATTATCCTCATCTGAATCTAATCCATTGTCGTTTTAAATAAAACATTTGCTTAAATTATAGTCTTATTTTAGATTTTTTTTCTTTATTTCCTATCTGATCTAAGTCTCGTTTAAACACTGGCTAAAATTCTCGATTAAATCTGCCAAAAAAACCCTTTTTTCTGTTTTTATTTTTATCGAAATTAAAGTGTTCATACAATTTTTCATATAAGGAGTTATATCCCTAGATCTAGGCCTATATATGCATTTTTTAGGTTCAATTTACCCTACAGTATATATATAATCAATCGGCCTTAAAAAATACTAACATTTTCCATTCTCTTATTACCTAATAAGCAAAAAATCAGTTTCAGGGGCTTTTTATTTAAATATAGGAGCCCTAAAAAGTTCATTTTCCATAACTGTAATTCCAAAATGTTCTTCGTTATCATGCAATTATCCAAACAATGGTATGTCCTCATTATCTTCTTTAAACTGAACTTTCCCTAAACTGCCTAATGTTTCTTAAATTAATTATTTGAATTTCTAAAGATCCTTTTCGAAATCTTACTAAGATAAATCTTAATTTTTTTCATATTAAATATTATTAATATTATTTGTTTAAGAAAAAACACTCTCAGTATCAGCCAAAAGACTAAACATTTCTTATTTTTTTTAATCATTTTCCATTTTCTTAATAGCTTTATTATAATATACATATCTATATAACTTTGTACTCATTCCTATATTTTAAAGTACCAAAGGATCCTCTTCTATATATTCTGTTAAAGTCACAATGTCTTTTTTAGATGATAAATGTCTTTTTGTTTTAAATATTTTATATGACTCCACTTTTTCCTCACTTATATCGAAATTTCGGGAATCTTATTCTTTTATTTTTTAAGATAAGTCATTTGCGTTTATTCCTTAAGAAATTATATTCCAAGTTTATGTAATAGGGTTTTTTTATGGAACATTTATTCTTTATTATTATTATTATTGTTATAATTATTATTATTATATACTATTTTCTAGACTTTAATATTATATTTAAATCTGGACTTAGTTTTTTTGGTTTTTTAAATAATTTTCCAATTCAAATAGTTATTATTGGTACATTTTTTCATATTAAATATATTTTTTTTATATATCCCAATTATGATAATCCTTAAATAAATTCTAATCTTAACTCAAAATATTAAACTCGAAATAAGAAGCAACTTTTGAATGGTCGAATTTAATTACTTAAGCCTAAGTACCTTAATTGATTTTTTTTTAACGAATAAAACTCTTTAAATTAAATGATGTATTTTTCTCCATTGGTTATTAAAAAATTAAATTTATTTATTAATTTTATTATTCGTATAAAGGTTAAATTATCATACTATCATTCTCATTAGGGGCTATAAAAGGCACTATTTTTGTGATATGTCTTCTGGAAAAATAGATCTGATTTCTGAACGATTTTAAGTTTGTTCTTATTAAAAAATATTATTTTCTGTTTTTTTACTGGTTTAGTATTTTTGGACTTATTCAAATCTTTACTTATTACTTTAACCGAAAAAAGTATTTATTTTTTCTAAGAAAAATTATTAGTCATTTAAATCTATAAGTATATGGTTGAATTCCTTTTTTTATTTTTTCCAACCTTTATTTAAAATTTCAATGTTATAGTAATCGAATTTATTTTAAACTAGTTTTCTTTTTATGTTCGAAAAGTTTTTTTATTTTTATTCTATTTAATCTTTTTGGTCTTTTTATTATTAATATGATTACTATTATTATTGTTATTATTATTATTAGGGATATTATATTTATTATTATTAATTTTACGATTAAATATTCTGATTTTATTATTATTATTGATTCTATTCATTGTTATTATTTTAAGAGTTATTTTTTTATTTTTAATCTTCTATTTAAATAAAATCAGTTTCTTCTTTCACAAAATCAAATATTCTAGAAAATTTAGTAAATTTATTTCTTGGATTTAAATTAATTATTTCTCCAAAAAAACTTTTTGTATTTTCTTACTACTATTATTACTATTATTATTACTATTATTATTACTATTATTATTGCTATTATTATTATTATTACTATTATTATTATTATTCAAGTTTTTTATCTATTTATTATTTTTATATTTATTAACTATTATTATTTGTCTATTAATTTTTTTATAAAATTTCATAATTAAAGAAATTTTCTAAAAAATAATCATCTTCCATTTACACATGTTCTCTAAAATAATCATCTTACTTATGTTTTTTTAAATTTAATCTGTTTATAACTTACATTTTATTAATATTTTTACTCCTCTCATATGCTATTTTTAAATGTTCATAATCTAATTATCTCAAAATCGTATCATTGAATTATTAAATTCCATTTTTTTTTTTATTGCTTTCTTAATTATTATTATTATTTTAAAACTTCCTTTTTTAGAATTTTTATTTATAAAAAATTTCTCCATCACTTTCTTCTTTTAAAAAATTATCTTCTTCATCTCCATTATTTTTTTCAGAAATTTCCTCTTCACCTTTTTCTTAATTATTATTATTTTCTTCTTCTTCTTGCTAAAAAAAAACACCATTTAATTTTAGATTTTAATTATTGATATTTCTTTATTAATTTTCTTCATTATTTTATTCTTTTTCTTCCTCAAATTCACTACTTTATAAATGAATACTCGAAATAATTTTTTTCTTTAAGAAACTAAAAAACTCCTTTGAACAAATCGGATTAAATATTTTTTTAAACTAAAAAACCCTTCCAAATTCTACTTTTATTTCGGAAAATGTAAAAAAAAGTCACTTTTGGATAAAAAAGAGTCATCTAAAAGCTCAATTTCTAAATTTTCTAATAAATTGATTTAATTTTTACTTTTTTGTTATTATTTTTATTAAAAATCGACTTCTTAAAAAGCCTCATCTGGTACTTTTTCGAATTCTTTTAAATTTATATGATTTTCAACTACTTTTTCTAAATATTCCCTTTTTTCTTATATTTCTTTCTTTTTTTCTTTTTTAATCTTTTTTCTTAATCCAGTATATTAATTTAACTCTTTTTTTACTTACCTATGTATTTTTCTAGACGGAAATACAAAAAAATCAGATAATTTATAATATTTTTAATCCCCAATTTTATTTATAATTTTAAAATATTCAGAATTTTTAGACATTTTTTCATAATCTTCTTATGATTCTTCCTCGTTTTCTTCTTCAAGTTCTTCTTATTTTTCTTATTCGTCATCTTCTTCATTTTATTCTTCTTCTTGTTCGTTAGAGTCTTCTTCTTGTTGGGAAGATTCGGATCTTTTAGAAGATTTTTTGTAGTTTTATTAAGATTATGACTCATCTTATTCGGATTCTTCTTCTTCATCAAGTTTTTGATGATATTTATTTGCTGAATCCATATTTATATAAAAAATTAATTTTATGATCTTTATTTATTTAATGTATATATAAAATATATAAATATATATATAAATATATATATATATATATATATATATATATATATATTTTATCAAAAAAAAATACAAATAAAAAAAATTATAAATATTTTGAAACTAATCTAAAATTTTAAACATATAAAAAAATTAAATATAATGGATAATAGAAATTAAGATACAATAATCCTTTTTGATGTAGACGGAACATTAACAAAATCTAGAAATGTTTCTTTTTATTATTTAAAAAATATTTTATTAAATAAATAAAAAAAGAAAATAGAAAATGATATGATAGAAATTTTAAACAAATTAAAAAAAAAATATTATGTAGCAGTTGTAGGAGGTTCAGATTTATAAAAAATATCTGAATAATTAACATAAAAAGGTAATATATATATATATATATATATATATATATATATATATACCCTTATATATATAAATTTTATATATTTTTTTTTAATTTAGTTATTGATAATATGGATTTTTGTTTTTGTGAAAATGGCTTATATTCGCTTTAAAATGGAAAATTTCTAGAAAAAAGAGTATTAAATTTTAATATTTATTCTTAAATTAATTAAAAATGTTTATTTTATAGAATATTAGAGATCAATATGGTAATGAAAAATTAAATAAGTTTATTAATAGAACATTAAAGCTACTATCTGAAATAGATATTCCTGTAAAAACTGGAACTTTTATTGAATATAGAAATGGTATGATAAATATATCACCAATAGGAAGAAATTGTAATTAATAAGAAAGAGATGAATTCGAATAATATGATAAAGTATATTTTTTATTAATAAATAAAAAAAAAAAAAAATATTAAAGATTCATTAAATTAGATAATAATTAATCAATTAATTAAAAAGTGAATTTTAAGAATATAATTTTAAATATTCTATTGGTGGATAAGTTAGCTTTGATGTATTCCCAATTGGATGGGATAAGACTTACTGTTTAAAATTTTTGGACTAATTTAAAAATATACATTTTTTTGGTGATAAGACAGATATAGTATAAATATAAAAATTTAAATATTAATAATTTCTTATTTTTTAAAAAAAAGGGAGGAAATGATCATGAAATTTACGTCCATGAAAGAACTATAGGGTATTCAGTAAAAAATACTTAAGAAACGATTAATTATATTTAGAAATTATTTTTATAATGATAATGAATAAAAATAAATAATGATATATTAACAAATATAAATAAATATATTAATATAAAAATATAATCATATATATTTAAATTAAAAAAAATTGATATTTTTTATTGATATCCTAATATCAATTAATATATAAAAATTTATTAAATAAAAAAAAAATTAAATATTAATTTTTAATAAATATGTCAAAAAAAAAAATTATTGGATTTAATAATTAGTTGTAAATATAGCAATAAAAATATTAAAATAAAATATATATTTAAATATTAATATAATATACAAAATTCAAATTATTTTTTAATTTCATTATATAAAAATATATAATTCTATAATTAACAATAATTATATAAAACTTTAATTTATTAATTCATTAAAATTTTATATTAATTATAATATTTTATATTTATTAATTGATGTTTATATAAGTTATATAATCTTTTTAGATATTAAATTATATTATATAAATAATTTATTTTATTATAATATAATATACGAAATCTTTATTATTTAATAATTATAAATTTATAAATATTGTATATAATAATTAAATTAATATAAAGGAATGTGATAAACTTGATATTCTTATGGTATGTGTAGGACAAAGAAAATAATAAAGTTGTTCAAGAAACAATATTTATTTAAGTATAGAATACTATAGTAGATTATTACAGATATGATTGTGAAAATAAAAGTAATGGGTAAATCTGAATACAATATATATATTATTAATTTAATAGATAAAATAAATAATAAAATTTCATAAAAAAAATATAAAAATGATAACTAATGAACATTTAATAATGAAGTAAAAATATTAATATATTTTTAATTAATTTAATTTCAATAATTAAATAATATTGAAAAATTAAAATTTAAATTTATAAACGTGAATTTATAAAATTTTGTAATTATATATAATAAAAAATATTTATTATAATTTGTAAAAATTATATTAATTATTAAAATAAAAAATACTACAACTTTTATATAAATCTAATATTTTAGATATATAATAAAAACTAATAATGTTTAATTTATAATGTTTTTTTTATTTTATAATTTAAAAAAAATTAAATATATTTACTTATAATATATTTCTAAAATTTTCAACATTCATAATTTTATTTGCCTTTCTTTAAATTAAAAATATTTTTATTTAATTTATGAAAAATAATTTATTTTATAAAATAGATTTATTTGTTTAATAAATACATAATTTTTTGTTTGTTAAAGAAATAATAAAATTTTTTTTTTTTTTTTTTTTTTTTGATTTATCAATTAAAATTTAAAACAAATTTCCTTAATTTTGTGTATTATTCTTATATTTAATAAATAAAAAAAAAATTAATTTTTTTTTTCTTTTTTTTTTTCATTTTTAAATAAGAGTTCCAATAATAAGACTTAATAAAGCTATAATAATAATATGAATAATACTATAATTAGAACTTTTTGTAACTATATTTAAAAAAAAATTCTTTAAAAAAAATTATTTATTTTTAAATAAAAAAAAACCTTATTCCACTTGTTTTAATATAATCTTTTAATTTTTTATTTAATTATTTAAATTTCTTCATTCTTATTTATAAATAATATATATATATATATGTATATATATATATATATATATTTATTATATTAATTTTTTTACTTTTAACTTTAATTCATTTTCATATTTTTCTACTTATTCTTTTTATTTATCATCATTAATAGTATTTAATGTGCTAAAAGCATTATTTACAGATTAATATAGCTTATTTTAAGAATTATTTAATACTAAAATAGGTAATAAAAAATATTTAATTTATTTTTGATAAAATAAATATATATAAATAATATTTTTTTACAATTTCCAGATTTTTTAATTTATTCTTGACTATTATACATTTATTAATTTGTTGATTCATTATTCTAAATAATAGAAACTTCTAATTTCTTTTTAAGTCCTTTTTTTTCGAAAATTTCATTTAAATCATCTTATTATGCTTACTTTTTTTTATTATTTTATTTATTTTTTATAAATAGAAATAAATACATTTACTTCATCATTTACTTCAGCAATTATTATTAAAAATTTATCAGTTAATCTTAAATTATTGACATCTATATGTTACTTTATATAAAAACTTTATAAAAAAATAAAACCGATATAATTTTAAATTACAAAAGGCTGCATTGTTAAATCTATTGTAGTATCAAAAAAAGAATGAATTGTTCCTTAACTTGGTTTTACTGCATAATTTCTTGGATTTGTAGTTTTTATCTGTTATTAAAAAAAATTATTTTTAAATTGATTCTAATAAATTATTTAATTTTAAATTACTTTATATAATAATTTAGAATTGCTTTTATTTTTTATTCTCAATTAAGCGTGCATTAATTATGAAGGCAAATATGAAAATGTTATACGATCTAATGGATATAAATCTACATAATCTTCAAATTATCTAAAATTTAAAGTAATTTATAATTATTGATCAAATTATTAAATATAAATTACTTCATTTCTATTTTAAATTTTTTAATTATTTATTTATTTATTTTTTATTTTAAATTAATTAAATATTTTTTTTTATTTTTTAAAATTTACATCTAAAAATATTCTTAAATATAAACATTTGTAAAATAATTATTTTATAAATAATTTATCTTATTTATATATATATATTTTCTTTTCTACAAATATATTATTTTAATTTCATTTTCTTAAATTAATATATTTTTTGTAAAGATTTTAATAATATAATAATATATTTTAATACATATATAATATAATTTTAATTAAAATAAAATACAATACAATAAAAATTGTATTTTATAAATTTATAAAAATTAAAAAAAATATCTTTTTTTATTATAATCCTTTATTTATGGAAATAAATTAATTTTATAATATTTAAATATATAAAAAATAAAATATTTTTAATTTATTAAATAAAATGCAATACGCAGAATAAATATTATTTGCTATAGTTTTTGGAATTATATTTATCTTTGCTATCTAACATACTGACCATTCTGAAACTAATCATAAATACGGATTATTAGGTGCTTTATTCGTATTTGTAGCCGAAGGTACATTAAAAAACTACAAAGGTCCATTTTTGAGACCAAACGAGGCTTTTTGGCGCGGAGTATTAAGATTTTGTTTAATATATCTTTGTGCATTAGTGTTTTTATGCTTTCAAAATAATATAGACGTTCGTTCTTTATTTAAATACCTTTATCCTGAATTAGGTTAACCTGTTCCTCATTCAATGCACACTTATGATGATAATTGTGACCTTGAATTCGAGAATATATTGGATAATTTTGATCATTATTTCCTTATTCATTTAATTAATTGGTTTTTTGCGTCATTAATAGTACGTGATGCTTACATATTACACTCATGGTCAATTTTAGATGAATTAATAGGTAAAATATTTAAAAAATTAATTAAAATAATAAAAAATTAGAACTTTCTGCATAACATGTACTTCCACATTTTAGAGAATGTTGGTGGGATCATGTTTTTTTAGATGTTTTATTATCAAATACAACTGCAATAATTCTCGGTTTATACGTTGTAGATTTTTTAGGATTTGAAAAATACGATTGGTTAGGTCGAAAAGGGAAAAAAAATTACAAAGAATGGTCAATTTGGCAATGTCATAGGCGTTTCGGGGCATTATTAGTGATTTTTTTGGTTATTATATGTAATTTTTTATGCGGTTTTTTCTTAATAAACTCCTTATGGATTCCTCCTAAAAATTGGTTGAATATATATAGACTTTTAGTTTGGTTTTTATTATCTAATTTAGCTTTTAAGGAAATATATACCGATATAAAAACCTGGGGAACAGAAGAAAGAGTTAAAAATCCAATTAGCGGAAAATGTAGATGGATTACTTTCTTTATTTGCTTTACCGAAACTTTCATTTCAATTAAATTTAGTGGAGATGCCGGAAATATTATTTATGGGGTAAAAACACCTTTATATGTGAGTTTACCTTGGATCATTTTAGGAGCAATTTCTTTTGGATATTATTTGTATTTGAGATTAAATAAAAATTATACGAGAAAATATCCACTTCATTATTATAAAAAAGGAGAGGCTAAAAAATTCGATTGATTTAAAAAAAAAAAAAATGTTATTAATATTTTTTTCTAATATTTTATTTTTTAATTATATATTTTATTATTTAATTAATGTTTCCTTATTATATATATTCAATTATATTATATATCTAAACAACAAATTCCTAATCCAATTAAATTAGATAATTTAGAATTTTATGTGCCTTCTTAAGACCAAATATAAGGAATTTAATAATCAATCTATTAATAAAATAAAGAAATAATAAAAAAAATAAAATAAACCCATCCCATTTATCTAGCAAACTAAAAAGCCGAAGATAAAATTTCAAAATTATTACAAATATGGTAATTTTCAGGACATAAAATGTCCTCTTGCTTTTATTATAAACCAGAAAGTTTATAATGATCAGCTGAAATACCTCCCAAAAACTATTCTGTTTTAGCTTTGATTTCATAGTTTTCAAGAACACGTTTATAAATTCTAACATCATCAGCTAAAAAATCAATATAATTTTCAATTTAAGACCTTTTATTATTCCCTTATTATTATAAATTTAAATTTCCAAAAGAAATAGCTATATTTTTTTCTTCGTATATTGAAAATTTTAATTTAGTATTAAATTCTTTGTCTAAATAACCATTGATAAATAATCTAATATTATTATCTGATCTAATAAATGTAATTTAAGTCCATTTTCTCATCATAATTCTACTATCAGTAATAATATTCTATATATAATGTATATATATATATATATATATATATATATATATATTTATATATATATTTATATATATATTTATTATACCTCTTTACTTCTATTTCGCCTTATGAATCATATTTTATCAAACTAAACTAAATTAATAATTTTCTTGAAGTTTATAAAATAAAAAATTCTAAATTTTTAATTTAAATATCATGAAATTTGCTCATTATTGGAATTTTTAATTCTTCATCATTACTATTATTTTTTTCGTCGTTATATATTTAATGTATATATATTGCAAATTATATTGTATATTATTATTCTATATTCTATTATAAAAATGCTTATAATTAACTTTTTAATTTAAATCGTCCACTACGACCATACCCTTATAACCCACTTGATTCTTATATATTTTTATTATACACAGTATTTTTATATAAAGATTCATCAAAAATCTTTATTTATTTTATGATAAATATATTAACAATTTTTTTATTATTTATATAAAAAAACTTTAGTTTTATCAAATGATATATGCAAAAGCATATCTTTATCTATTTAAGGAGTTGCTATTATTAACATGCCTTTTGAATGATTATTTGTATTTTTTTTTATAAAAATGTTTATTTACCATTAAATAAACATAAATTATTTTATGTTTCCATATCACATTTTTAATTATTGGGTTAATTATTTTTTTCTTATCTTTTTTTTTATTTTTTATTTGCTTTATATAATATTTATGTTTTATTTTTTACGTAATATCTTCAAAACTATATATTAAACATAATAAATATAAAAAAAGTGTTAATTATTTCATTTAAAGAAATTGGTATTATATTATATTATTATTTTTTTCAAAAAAAAATAAAAAAAAAATAAATCAAAAAATAATAATTCAAAAAACGACAAAAAATATTTTTTATATATATTATAATATAATATATATCTGTATTACAAAAAAAAAATTATCATTTTTTATTAAAAATATATATTAAAAATAATATATTAGCATTTTAAATTATTTATTTATTAAAAAATATATCTTTACAAATATTTTAAATTTATCATTTAAAAAATTTCAAATAATTCAATTAAAGCAATATACCTAAATTTTTCTTAAAAAAACGTACTAAATCTTACTTGTCTACAACAAAAACTTCTGTAGGTTTTAAAGAAATCAAAGTGGTAGTTAATGGTTTATCATTTACTAAAGAATCAATTTCACCAACAAAATATCCTTCACTAATTTCTGATAGTTTTTATTCCTCACAATCACTAAATTTAACAGCTCCTTCTTTAATAAAAATCCCAAATTTACCATCTTCTCCTTTAGTCCAAATAAGTTTATTAGTTTCAAACTATTTTTTAAATAAATTAAATAATATTATTTTAAAATTACCTTAGTTTCTTTGAAAATCATTTCTAATTCAGTTTTTTATTAATCATTTAATTCTTTAAATACTTCATTTCTTTAAAAAAAAAATAAACTCGAAAAAAAAAAAAATTACTTTTTCAATAAATTAACTATATTTTTTCTTCTTGCAGTATACATAGATAATAGTTTCTAAATAATAGAAGCTGCTTCGTCTTTTTCTTCGCCAAATATAAACCAAAAATCTTACTTTTCTAAAGATAAAAGTTAACATTAAGTAACAGCAACAACACTAGTTTAAATAATAAAAAAATCAAAAAATAATAAAAATAAAATATTACTTTGCACCTCTACGGGTATTGTCAGATTTCAATGCAGTTTCACCAAAATAACCTCCAGTAGGGCAATATCTACATAAACTATTAAAATAAAAAAAGTATATAATGTATATATAAATAAATAAATATAAATATATAGATAAAGATATATAAAAATATATATTTACATATATATAAATAAATAAATATATATAAATATGTATATATATATATATTTATAAATATATATAAATATTTAATTAAATATAAATTACTAATTTTTATATTTTTTTTTTCTGTAATTGTTTTTAAAGACTTACACAACAAAAATAAAGGCTTTTATTCATTATTACATGCCTTTATTTTTTTTGTTTATTAAACCTTTAATAAAAATTACAAAAAAAATTAAAAAAATTCTTTATAATTATCTTATGTTAATATTTTTATTACATTTTTGAATTATCATAAATACAAACAATGCCACTCATAACAAAATAAAACTTTGTACCAATAGCCCCTTATTTTATAATATACTCTCCAGGATTAAAGAACTCATCTTTAGCTGATTAAAGTAGATCTCTAAAATTTTTAATCGAAATATTTTCAAAGATTTCAATTGTACTTAACAAATCTATTTTTTTTTACAAAGTTCTTTTTTTAATTTCTTCTGTTTCAGAACTTTTTAAAGAAGACTATTTTTTATCATAAATAGATATATCTTTTGAATAGCCAATTTTTTATGGCGTATTAAAACCTAAGCTTTCTATTTCTTCGTATAATTTTTAAGTATTAGAAAAAAAAACGGTTGTATTTCTAATTTAAGGATTTTTAAATTCTTCCAATTTTAAATAATCAGTTAATTAAGCTTCCCATAATTTATCGCCTAAATAAAATATTCTCATTTAACTATGTTTCCATTTTTTTCTATTTGTAATCTAACATTAAATTTTATTTAATTATTTTTATATAAAATAAAATAATACTTATTAATATCTATCTTCATTAATAACTTATTGTTATTTCATATCTAATAAACTATATTTTATATAAAAAATAAAAGAAATATAAACAATTACATTTTTTCATTAATAAAGCAATCTCCTCCAAAATATAATTCTTAATTTTCCATATTAGCCACAAAACCCAAACTAGGAATAATATTCAAAGTATAAAAAAACTTTAACCTACAAGTTCTCAAAGTTAAAGGTGCACCAATTGAAACTGGTCTAAATTTAAGAATTCTATTCAAGAAATCAATCGGCATATTACTCAGATCAGAATATTTTTACAAAAAAGATTTATAAATTTACCTCGTAGTAATAAGTTCGACATTAGAATTTTCAAACATCATCTAAAAAGCCCCTTAATCACTTTTAGATGAAGTTTAAGTAATAATAATCCATTCAATTAAACAACTCGAAATTTTCATTTTAGTTAAGATCTAGCTTGTAAAAACTGGAGGATCAACTAATAGTCCCCTACCATTGATCCAAATAATAAATCCATTTGAAAGTTCCTCAATTTAATTTTAAAATAAATTAGGTAAAAAATTTATTGAAAATATTTTTGAATTATCTAATAATTAAGCAGAAGATAAACTATTTCCTTAATTTATAGATTATTACATTAATTATTAATTTCTTTTTTCGATTATGTCATATATATTATAATCTTTCTTTAAAACATCATCCCAATTAACTTCTTCGACATAAGTTATGTCTATTCTATCTTATATACAAGCTATTTCATTTTCATTTAAATATATTGCTATTTCATCTAATCGTTTTTTTATTATAATATGATCTCCTAACATACATCCTATATTTATAAATGTATATATAAAAATAAAAATATATATAAATACATATATATATATATATTATATATTATATATATAATATAATTTTAAATAAATTAAATTAAAAACCATTTTTTTTATCTATAACTAAATACTCAATCATATTTTCATAAGGAAACTTGGAATTATGTTATTTGAAAAGACCTCTTAAAAATTTAAATTCTTCTTTAAAATTTGGAATAGGATTTTTATCTATCGAATTATAAAAATCTATTTCTTTGTTTATAGAATTTTCATTCCAAATTGGCCATATTTCCTTAAAAATCATACGTAAATGCATTGGAACTAAATGCCCGCAAATAAAATATGATTTTTTACCTTATAAAAAATTATGAAAGACTGTAGTGCAAAAATCAGATAAATTTATTGCATGTTTTTTATGAAAACGAGCGAATGGAATTATAAAATATTCTGGAACTTTTATCCCTAATTTTAATACTTCGGCTAAACACCCCGGAGGTATTCCAAATTATATGTGACCAGCAGGTGTATTTATTAATATAGCTCCACATTGTAATTTTATAATATTGTTTTTATTGTTTTCATTCTAGTTTTAATAGTTTTAGATATCATATTTGATATTTAATTACACTCTTTCTTTATTTATGGATTCTTATTCTATTCTTTGGATAATTTTGTCCATTATTATTTTATAATTAATGTTTATTTATTTATTTTAATTTGGATTTTTTATTTTAATTGAATTATTATTTTATTCGGATTTTTTTTTTTTAAGTTTTTAAAATAAATTTATTATTTTTTTTTAATTTATAATTTTTTTGTTTTATTTAAAAAAAAAAATATTAATTAAATAAATATTTATATTAAACACTAGATCAATTTTTATTAATTAGCTTAAATAAATATTATACTTAAATATAAAAATAAAACTAACAAAAATATATAAACTAAATAATAATATAATAAAATAAAAAATAAATAATTAATAAAATTATTTATTTAATGAAAGAAAAAAAAGAAAAAAAATATTTTCAGTATTTCTTATCATAACTTTTTCTTAACATTTCGGATTTAATATAACTACTTTAAGCGATTTCAGCATCTTTCAAAATCGATTTTGTAATAGAAATATCATCCTATTTTTATTTCTCATAATCCAAAAATTTACTTCTATTAATTTCTAAATTGACTTTATTTTTTTCATTCTCAAAGTTTTCTTGTGCGATTAAATTAAGTAATTTAGCTTATTTAATTTTTTAAATTTCTTATTCTCTTTCTTTTAAACTGAGCATATTCAATATCTAGAAATATTCTTATTCTTTAAGTGCTTTTTAAACATAATTCTAATGTTAAATGTTATTTAATTAATAATTAGGTATATTTTATTCATGATTAATTTCAAATTATTTTTATTTTAAAAAAATATGATTTTATAAAGCATAGTAATTTTATTAAGCCTAAGAATATATAAATATAAAAAAATATATATATATATTATATATTTATATATTTATATAAATTTATATTTTTTTAAATACTTTAGCTTAAATAGCTTTTCTTTCTGAATCAATTAATTTTAAGCGATTATTATCTACTTCTTTTTAAATAATTTAAAATTCAAGATTTTTATTATCAATAATATTTTTTAAAGCCATAATTTAATTAGATATTCTTCTTTTTTCATTTTCATGTTCTCTTTTTATTCTTTCTACAGATTTAGATAATACTTTATCTCTAATTTTAATACTTTCTTAAAATCTCAATTCCATTTCCTTTTCTTTTTTTTCCAATTCTTAAATTAATGTCATTAGTTTTATTTTTTCAGACTCGAGTTAATATTTTTCATATTCATAAGTCTCTTTTTTCTTACTTAGTTTGCTAATATTTTCATCCTTTTTTTATACATTCTTACTTAGATTTTAAATTATTTCCTAATAATTAATATCTTCTTCACTAGATTATTTCTAGTTTTATCTTATAAAACTATCTCCATTGTTTTTCATTTTTTTAATATTCTCTTCTTTTTAATCAGCCTATTAACTTCTTAAATTTTGATCTTAAAACTTCTATTCGGCTATTTAATTAGTTGTTTTAATATTTTCTTATTCACAAGATAATTCTCTTTAACTGATTTTACATTTTTCAATTTAAGAAAGCTTTTCTAAAGCCTAAATATTTTAATTTTATAATTCTTCTTTATTTATATCTTCATGAAAATATTTATTTAAACCATTATGTATTTATTAATTTCTCATATTAGTTTATAAAATACTAGATTTATTTAAATATTCATTCTTTTTTTTATATTTTTTATATTTATAATATATTTAAATTACATCCTCTGCTTTATTTTATAGAGCTTGAATTTAATTTTTTAATTATGATTCTATTTCTAAAAGTATTGCTTAATTATTATTTTATTTTTAATTTTCAATTTCAATTTCTGTTTTTTATTTTCTTATTTTATAGTTTTCTTAATTTTTTAATTCAAAAGATTACTTAAAAATATCAGCTTATTATTCTTAATTAACTATCATATCATTTTCTTTTTCTATTTAAATCTTTTAATATTTCAAATAATTGATTTGTTTTAATTTCTCAAACAATATAAGCTTTAAGTTTTCAATTTTATTTTCATATTATAAAGCAATAGCATTGTTTTTGATAAGTTCTTCTTTGAAAAGTTCAAGTTTATAATGTTAATCTTTAACATTATTACATTCTTAAATTTATTAATTAAGGAGTAAATGAAGTCTTTATGCTTCAAGTTTGAGATCATAAAATTAATAATTATTATTACTTAAAAAATATTAATTTATTAAATTATCTGAATTCTAGTAATTACAATATAAAGTGTCTTAAACATATTAAGAATTATCCTTTTCAAATATATTTTTTTTTATATCAAAATTTACTAAATCTTTATAACATTAAAAATTATGATATTTATATATATAATATATATAATAATATATGCTTAAATATATGTATTACATTAAATATAATTACATATAAATATATAAATATATTTATATTATATATAAAATTATTTAAATATTTATATATTTAAAATAGTCATATAAATATATTTAATTTTTAATTTATAAATATAATTTATCATTTTTATTTACTATTAAATTATGGTATTTTTATTTATTCTATTAGTGAAAGTTTTTTATTTTAATTATTTACTTAAGATGATAAAGAATATTTTTCAGGCGTCAAATAACTTATTTTAGTATTAATACAATTTTTTTAAAGATTATTAAAATTTTTTTTTGATACTCGTGTTTTATATTATCCAACAAAGGAATTTTGGGGAGATTATGATTCTTAATTAAAATATCTCATTAATTTTTTATTATTTTTTATATTTTTATTTAATATTTTATTTATAAAATATATTAAATTTTTAATTTATTTGTACTCTTATTTTTAAAATTTTTTTTTTTTTTTATTTTTTTAACCACTTATATTAGTATATATATTAAAAAATTGAATATAATTTTATTATAAAAAATATATATATATATTAGTATATAAATTAAAATAAATATATAAATATATAAATATATAATATATTTCTATATATATTTATTTTAAATATTAATTTTTTTTTTTTTTTTATTTATTTATTTAATACTTTTATTTATTAATTTTTTTTATTTAATTTTTTTTTTTTATAATAAATACTTAATTATACATTTTATCATTATTTTTATTTTTATTTATTTCATAATTAAAATTTTTATTAATATAAAAAATAATTTTGCTATAACCCTTTTTTTTATAAAAAATATTTAATTTATTATTTATAATATATTATGTTTCATATTATTAACTATAATTTCTATAAGAATATTTATTATAATTATATTTAAATATATATATGATTTATTTTTTTAAAAATTATATTTTTTTTTTATTTAATAACTTTTACAATTTATTCGTTTTTATAAATTTATTATCATATTTAATAAACTATCTTTAATATTAATATTTTTTTTATTCTAAATATTATTTTTTTACTTATTAATCTTTACATAGTTTTTTTTTTTTAATTAATATTTAGATATAATTTTTTAATTAAAAATACAATAAAGATATTTATTTCCTATCTAAATATTTAATAAAGTAAATTTAAACATAATTTAAATTAATTTAATTTGTGCGATTATTCATTTTTCTTTAAAATGTATATAAAAATTGTTAATTATTATAACTGAAGGTATACAAAAAAATCAAATCGATTAAATATATATCTATTTATCTTTTTTTAAAAAATTTTTTGTGATTTTTCTTTAATATGGATCATAAACTAAAATATTAAAAATATATTATAAATCAGAAAAGACTTTCTAAACTATATTATATATAATATATTGTTAATCATGCAAAAATATATTACTGGACTATATTTGACTGCATAAAACAGGTTTTTTTATATAATATTAATTTGTTTTTATATTAGTATATACGTATTATTTAAATAATTTTTTAATAATAAAAAAATGCAAAAAAATTATTATATTCTTTATATTTTTTATAATTATTAAAGACATTAAGAGTATAGGAATAATATAAAAAAACATAAAACCTAATTCTAAAAATTGATTGAAAAATTATTTTAGAAATCTATATATAAATAATAGAATTTTTAAAATAAATAAGCTGAATATATAAAAAAGTAAAATATCTAATAATGTTATTGAACTTAAGAATAATTTTTATTTATTATAAGTTATATGTATTATATAGTAAGATATTTATAATTTTGATCTATTAAAGTATTAATATCTCAAAATATGATTAGAAATTATTATTCTAAATATTTTTATATTATAAGTAATAAATTTTTTGATATTTTATTTTGATATTAATATTTTGCACGATTTTTTATTAAGATAAAAATAAATAAATAAATATATTTTTTTGTATATAATTATTAATATATGTTTTCTATATATTATAAAATAATTTTATATATTTTATTTAGAATTATTTTAATTAATACTTAAATTTATATTTTATTTATTTTTATATATAAAAATAATTTATATTAAATTTTATTTAGTAGTTTTTTTATATATAATATAATTTTTTTTAAAAAAAAACTCTATATATAAAATTAAATGAATTTTTATATTATTATAATTATCAATTATTTATTTAAAAAATAAAAATATTTCTCAAAAGTGAAAAAACAGATAGTTTTAAAATGAAATATATACAAAAATAAATATATTATTTATAATATTAATATATATATTTTATTTTATCAAATTTCCTGATCAATATTTATTTATTCAGAAAAATTAGTACTATTTTCACATGAAAATGTCTATAAAGAATTAGAGTTTTCGTTAAATAAATAAAATTTTTATTTTAAATTATCTAAATTTTTATTAGAGTATTTTTATCTTTTCTATATTAATTTTATTACATTCATTTTTTTTGTTTTTTCTTGTTTTAATATAATATTCTTTATATCATTTTCCTCTAATTAACTTATTAATTTTATATTTTCTCCACAAAAGGAATGTGAAAAGCACTTAGAGCAAAATAATTCAATATGATCTGAACAATAAAAAACATTATTTTAATCATGTTTAAAGCAAAATTTTTCTATTTTAAGGTAATTCTTTATTTGATTTTATTTGATTTTATGTTTTTATTATTTTTATAATTATTATTAAATGAATATATTATTTGGTAATTCTTATAGTTATTAAAATTTTGATATTTTATTACAAATAGGGCATTAAATTTAATTATTAAATAATGATTATTTAAAGCAATTTGAACATATAGTATGAGCACATTTTATAAATATTTTAGGTTGATTATAAATTAGATTATAAGAATTATTACACTTAGAACAGTTCATATTTTTTATTATTAGTTATAATTTAAAGCTCTTATTTTTTTATTTATTTATTTTTGGATTAAAAATATATTATTGCATGTAAAAACATTATATAATATATATTTATATCTATTTAATTAATATAAAAATTAATAAATAACCATTTGCGCTAAAAAATTATTATTTTGCCGGAAATAAATATAAAAATTAATAATTTTGGTGTTTTCTTTTTTTTTTTTAATGTTTTATATAAAATTTTTATGTATTTTTTTATATATTTGTTTTTATTAAAAAAAAAAGAAAATTTAAATATTTATTAAAATGTTTTATTAAATTTTATTTATATGTTTTTAAACGGAATAAAATAAAAAATATATCTATAATAATTTATAAATTTAAATATAAATATAAATATAATATATATATATATATAATATATATATATATATATATATATATATTTTTTTTTATATATTAATTAAATATTATATACTAACTCATAGTGCTTTTACTTTCTTTTGTTTGTTTTGTTTAGATCTATTAGTATTTTTGTCAGATTTTTGATAATATTATTTTATGTTTATGATATATATAATGTATAATATTGTTATTATTAAGAATATTATATATTTAATGCTTTATTAATCAATTAGTTTTAATTTTAATTTTTTTTATATATATTTCATTTTATTTGATTTTTTTTTTATAAAAGATAAAAATATATACTTCCAATATTTAAGAAAATATTAGATTAAAAATAATCTTAAAATATTATATATGAGAAAAAAATATAAACTAAAATTAATTTTTAAAATATTTTTCTTTATATATTATTTTTTTTCTTTTATATATATTTTTTTAATTTATTATTTGTTAAAAAAACTATTAAAACTTTATATTATCAAAAAATTAAAAGTATATTAAAATATTTCTTTTTAAGAATTAAATATAAACTAAAATTTAAATAAATAATATATTAATAAAAATTTCATATATAATCATTTTATTTTATAATTTGTTTGAAAAAAAAATATTATAAATACGTTAATAATAAAATAAAAAAACAACAACAAATAAAAAACAAAAATATAATAAAAAAAAAAACATTAAAAATATATATATATATATATATATGGGTGACTTATTATCCAAAGCAAATAATTATCAAGACCCTGAATTCATGAATTAATTCTAAGCCGAATACATTTTCCTTTAAGACCATATAGACCACCGTTTAGGCCGGGTTAAAATATACTAAGGAAAATAGGAAAATTATATAGCCGTAAAAAAAGTATTCGCTCAATAAAAAGACTAATTTAAACAATATATAGAAAAGACTCTTTTAAAAAACATATAATTTAATAACCATTTTTTGATAAAATTGTATACTTTCCAAACTCATTAAGATGACTCTTTTTGTAGTTAAGTAAACGATATAGAAATATATTTAGAATATTACGTAAATACAGTCTAAGAAGAGATTTAAAGACGTATATAAGTAAATCTCCCATACATAGAATAAGAAATTTGGACTATATTATATTCAATAATAAGCGCTGCTACTTATTTAGAAAGTAAAAACCTATCCCTAAACGACATTAGGCCTTAGAATGTATATTTTACAACACGAGGTGAAATAAAACTAATTCCTTTTGGGTAAACATTAACATAATTTTATAAATTTTTTTAAAAAATAAAAAGTATGTTTCCAGAAGATTAAACTGCTTTTTAAAAATATATGAATTTAAACGAACCTTGTCTTTTATCCCCTGAATAACTACACAAATTATATACTAAATAATTTAACTTAAATATAGATTAGAATAAAAGTGATGTTTTTTCAATAGGAATGACTATACTATATTGCATGATGTTATAGGGAAGTTCGGTATGTTATGATTATGAAAACTGCGAGATTAATAAAGAAGTTTTATATAATTTAATTTAATATTCTTCCTAATAATATTCAAATTTTCTCTTACATATAATAACCCTTATGTTATAGGAAAATCCACAAGAAAGACCTTTTTCAAGCACTATCCATGCCATGCTTTAGCCTTTTGAAATCGAAATTATGTCTTTGTAACCTTTTAATCCTGATAGTATGTTAATGAAATAGTCTTTGTTAGTAAATGGATAAGCTAAGAATATGATTTAGAGTAAAATATTTCCAGGAGAACATACTAATATAGGTGTTTCTTAGGTTATATAGTAATAATAATAAGAATTTTATAATAATAATAATAGTATTATGAGAAATTCTTATATAGGAAACAAATAAGGAATAAATGATTTGGAAAATAGTAATTATAACTAAGGAAATAATACTTTTAATTAAGGAAATTATTTTTAAAATGTTGGCATTAATTAATTTAATTAATAAAACAATAAATTAATAAATAATAATAATTAAAGAAATAATTCTTACAATTAAATTAATCATTGCTTTTATCAATAATAAAATAATAATTTCGATAAAAAATATAATGATATATATAATTAAAATAGCTATTCTTTCAATAATAATAATGAAATGCATATATAAGTCAATTAAGCAATATAAAGAACGCATTAAGTATTAGGAAATAGATTATATGAATGATAAAACTTATAAATAATATATATATATATATATATATATATATATATATATATATATATATATATATATATATATTTTTATTTTATTATTGTTATCATAAAATATAAAAATATTTTTACAAATATTTAATATAATAACTATTTTATTCAACGTTTCATTAATTTTTTAACTATATCAAAATAATTAATTCTTCCTTCATTTTTAGGATCTATATCTTTCAAAAAATCAACACATTATTCTTCACTCCATCTGTTTCCTTACAACATTAATAATTCTTTAAATTATTCGACTCTTATATACCCTTCCTATTCTCTATTTTCATTCGGAATTTTCGCTAATTCTTCATTGACTGCATTTTCGACTAATTTAAAAGCTTGAGTAAGTTATTCTTCTTTGTCATTTTCTCTTAATTTTTTTGAAACTATAATATATACTGCATTTTCATCTATTCCAATTGAATCAGGGACTGTTTCTTGAATATATTTTAAATATTCATTATATAATTCAGTTAATTCATCTTCAGGAAATCGAACATCCAAAGATGTCAGGAGTTCTTTTAATTCCCCTAAGTCTATTTATTTATCATTATCACGATCAAAAAGTGCAAAATTTGCTTGGTATTTGGCTTTTTTATCATCTGGGAAAAAACGAGTGAAATCATCAGCAAATAAACGTTGTTTTAATTCAAGAATTAACTCACGTGTGTTTTTTTTTGGTAAACCGTCTTCTAATGAAACTGTTTATTTTATAGGCAATATACTTGAGGATGTATTCATTATTATAATTTTTATACTATTATAAGTATATATTATATTTATTTAATATTTTTTTTTTTTTAAATTTTATATTTTATTTTTTTAATAAAAAAAAAAAAATATTCATATTTTTTATTTATTTATTTTTAAAATAACAAAAAATTTAAAAAATAAATAAATATATATTTAATTTCTTTTTTTTCATAAAAAAATAAATAAATAAATATATATATATAATAAAATGGATAGTTCAGAAAAAAAATTTCTTCTTTTAAAAAAAAGATTAGATGCACTTCATTATTGTTAACCTTTTAATTTAGAAAGTTCATCTTTAGTAGAACGTTTATTAAATGATTTAATTAAAACAACTGAAGGTTTCCAGAATTTAAAAAATATGAATTCCGAAATCCAAAAATAAGTTTTATAAGCGGAACAAACATTAGAACCTTTAAAAAGAGAAAATGCAAGAATAACAAAAGAAAATAACTAATTACACTTTTAAATTCTTTAAATAAAAGAAGATTAAGAAATGTCGAATAATAAATTTAAAATATAACATTCATAATATGATGAAGATAAAAAAGATTTGAAATTTGCTTTAGAATAAAAAGAAATTCGTTTAAAAAAAATAGAAGAAGAAGTAACTAAATAAAATAAATAAATATAACAATTATTATATATATAAATATATATTTAAATATATTAAAATATATTTAAATATATTTAAATATATTTAAATATATATCTATATTTTTATCTATATATATATATATATATAATAATAATTTTTTAATGTAGAATATATCTTTAAAAAACAAACTTGATTTAATTGCTGCTAAAGTATATATACCATCTTGTTAATAAGGATTAGAAAATCTACCTGCTAGTTATATTAATGCAAATAATCAAGCTTTAGTGAATTTATCTTTACGTAAATTAAATAATATATATTTTATTTTTATATTTTTTTTAAAAAGCAAAAAATTAATAAATAAATAATATTTATGAAGAAGAAGAGGAATTCGAATAAGTAGAATATTCTTAAAAATATTAAAAAACATAAAAAATAAACACAGAAGAATACTTAAGAGAAATAAAATCATTAGAAGAAAATAAAATTCTTTTAAACGAGAAAATAAAACATATGGAAAAATAAATATAAAATAGAGATTCCGAAATTCTTCGTTTATAATCTAAAATAGACTGTAAATTATAAAATATATGTATATATATATATATATATATAAAAAGTCGGTAATTAAAATATAGAAAAAATTAATAATGATTACTAATTAAATAATTAATACGAAAAAAATGAAAGATTAAACCACTAAATAGATTTTTTAACAAAAGAAAACTACAAATTAGAAACTGATCTTTCCAATTTGAAGTCCGATATGTAAAGAACTTAATTATATAAAGAAGAAAGTCAAAAATAATAAGAAAAAATACAAAAACTAACTGATTAATTGCAAAAAGCAGCCTAAATAATTCAATAAAATGAACAAAAAATAACAAATTTGAAATAAAAATAGGAAGAAAACGCAATTTTATCATTTTAAAATACAAACTAAAATTCTCCTTCTAAAAATGGCCAAAATATACTTATTTTAGATTCTAAAATTTAATAATTATAATAAGAAAATTAATAATTAATATAAGATTTATAGAAACAAAGTAATAATATTAATATAAATATTATGTATATATATATATATTATTATATAATTTTTTTAAAAAAAAATAAAAAATATCATAGATTAATTAATATCTGCGTACTAAAGTGATAAAAAAGCTTTCTCATAAGCTTTAGAATAACAAAAAGTTGAAAAAGATCAGTTATTAACCAAAATGGAATAAACTGAAAACTTAATAAAGCAAAAAGAACACCAAATATAAGAAAAAAGCTACGAAAATCAGCAAAATATATACAAAATATAATCCCTATAACGCGAAATAGACTTAAATAATTAAAATTATGATCGTTTAATAACTTCTAATAAAAATATAAACGAAGAAATGCAGAAACTACGTGAGAAAATCGAAGAATTATAAGAAGAAAACTTACGAGAAATCCAAAAAATTTCCATAGAAAGAATCGAGAAAGAAAAGTATTAAAAATAACTAGAATTTTCCGAAAAAGAAATCGAGAAAATAAAAAAAGAAAATAAATAAAAACAAAATGAAGGTTTTGAAAAAAGCATCTTAAAAGAAAAAACCGAAAAAAACAATGAAAATTTACTCAAAGAAATCTCAATTTTAAAAAAGGAAATATTCTCTCTAGAAACCCTACTAAGTCAAAAAAATCAGTCTTTTCTTGACCAAGAAAATAAACTAAACACCCAATTTGCTACAATTAAGCATTTATAATAATAAATAGCTGACTTTTAAAAAGAAATAACTTTATAAGAGGATATTTTAGCTTAAAAAAGTCGTGAAATACGCACTTTGGAGTAATAGAAATTAAATTTAGAGCGCGATAATATACATTCTACACCTTTTGTAAGAAAATACGAGGAAGCATTAAATAAAATGTAAAAAATGTAAGAAAAAATATAAGATTAGGAAGAAAAAAGACTTAAAATTTTAAAAGAAAGCGAAATTTTGAAAGAAGAACTAGAAATTTAAAATGAGAAAATTTCCCAAAAAAATGATGAAATTAATTAGTATTTATAAAAAATGTAAATATTGGAAAAATAGATAATTGAAAAAAAAAACGAAGAAGATACTTTATTTAACTAAAAAAATTTAAAAAATATTGAAATCGATCATTAATTTTACAAAGAAACATAAAAAAATAAGGAAAAAGACCGCCAAAATTTAATCCTAATTGAAAACCTTAACTAAGATTTAAAAAAAGCCTAAAATAACTCTATTCTTGCCCAATAGAAAATCGAAAATCTCACCAACTAAAAAACAGACCTTTTAGAAAGCCTTAAAAACCTTCAAAAATAGGTCCTTACACTAGAATCTGAAAAAAATGAATAAATCAGCCAAAACATAATCCTAGATTAACAAATATAACACGAAAAATCCCAAAAAAGCCACCTAGAATAATTACTTATCGCCGAATCTTCCAAAAGTGGCCATTTTGAATAATAAAACCTTCTCTAATTACACCAAATAGCTGATTTGGAGTAAAAAAATTCCTCCTATATACAAAAAATAAGCTAATTATAGACACTAACATCCGGTTTAGAGAAATAGAAATCTGATTTATTATCTAAAATGGAAACCTATAACAGTAGAAACGGCTAAGAAAATACTGACATATAGAAAATCCTAAAAGAAAAGCTAGAAAAGGATAAACTTATTGAAAAACTTTAAGAAGAAATCACCGATTCTAAAAGCGCCTTAATTGCGATAGATTAAGAAAGAGATGAAATGTAGAATTTACTAGACGAAAAAACTCTAGAAAACGAAAATTTTAAGGAAAAAATGTCCTTTTTAGAGGCTGAATTTTAATTTTTAAAAGAACAAAAAATACACTCAAATTCAAAAAACGAAGAAGCCTTTTAGAGAATTTCCAATTACGAAAACTAAATAAAAGACCAACAAAAAAAAATATAGAATTTATTAGAAGAAAAGGAAAACTAAAAATTCTCCCTTTAAAATTAAAACAAAGAAGTATAAAATTTAATCAATGATTTAAATTTATTATCACAATAAAATTAAAATCTAACATAAGAGTTAATTATTCTAGCGTAAGAAAAGGAAGAGCTTAAAAATAGCCTAAATAATTACATTATTGATGAAAAAAAAATTAAATAAACACTAAGAGCAAATGAATTGGATAAAGGCGATCTTTTATAATAGTATAAATAAGTATGCTTAGATAATGAGAGGTAAGAAAAAGTCAATTAAGACTTACATTTGGAAAACTAACATCTTTTTGCACAGATAAATGAATTGGAAAAGGAAAAAGGATAACTTTAAGCACATTTATAATATTTGGAAAATAAAGAAAATTAACTTTTTAACGAGTTGGGAAATATGGAAAGATAAATAACTTTTTTAAATAAAAAACTAGAATAAGCAGATGATTATGTAAAGGCGATTTGCTAAGAAAAAGATATGATTTAAAAATAATATGAAAATATGACAAGACTTTCAAAAGGAATGGAAGGAACTAAAGATGAATATTAAAGAGGTATAATGTATTTAGAAAATGAGAAAGTTTAACTTTAAGAAAATATGAATATTTAAAAAAGAGAATTAGATATAATAAATTAATAATTATATTCAGAAAAATAAAGAGTATTTTAATTAGAAGAAGTTCTTTTGAGAGTAAATATATACAAATTTTAATAAATAATAATATATATATATATATATATATATATATATATATATATATATTTATTTATATATTATATTTTATTTATATATTTTTATTATATATTTATAAAATAGGAAAGATAATTCTAGAGTAAATAAAATCTTGAAAAAGAACAGTTATTAAGATAATTAGAGGATTATAGATAAATTTAAATTTTGTAAGAAAAAAGTAGAAAAATAGTTAATTTATTCCAAATATAGATATTAATAATAATAATAATAGTGTTTTATAAGAAAAAAATAAAACAATAAAAGAATTAGAAATTGAATAAAGAAATCTAAGAGAAGAAAACAGCAAACTTCGACTAAACATGTATATATTCGAATAAGAAAAAATCGAATTAGAAAAAAAACTTAATAATTCAGAAATATACTAAAGTTCTATCAATAAATAAGATGCTCATATGTTTGAAGATAGTGATTAATAAATTAGTTAAGATTGTTTAGATAGATTAAATGCTTAAGGCGATGATATTAAAATATCTCTTAATCAAACAGGCATTAAAACTATTGGAATAAATAAAAAACTCAATAATCTTAAAAAATAACACGAATAATATATTCCTTGTAATAATAAAAAATGAGGCAAAAAAATAAATTTATTTATATATATATTTTTATTTATTTAGTTTTATTTATTTATAAAATTTTCTTCTTTTATTTTTAATAAAAAAAATAAAATAATAATCTTTTATTAATTAAAAATAAAAAAAATACATATAAATTTATTTTTGTAAATTAAATTTCTTATATGTTTTGGGTATAAAATTTTTAAAATCAAAATAAAATATATATATATATATATTAATTATATAAATAAAATTAATTTTTTTTTAAATACTAAAATATTTTATATATATAATAAAAAAAAAAATAACTTATTAAATTTTAATTTAAAAAATAAACAAAACAAATAAATATTATATTTTATAAATATCTAATATTTTTTTTTTTTTTTCTTAATAAATATAATTTTTTAAATTTAAATTTTATTTAAAATAAATTCAAAACAATAATTATGTTTCATTTTTCAATTATAAACTTTTCAAAATAAAATTATATTAAAAAAAAATACATTTATAATTATATATATATTATTTAATATTAATTTTTTTTTTTATAAATGTATCCTCTTATTATTTGTTATTTTTATTTATTTTTTTCTTAATTTTATATAAAAATGAACAGTCAGTATTATATCTATTAATGTTTTTTTTTTCTATTTATTTAAAATACGAAAGCTTTTTTATTTTAATTATGCATACTATTCATTTTTTTTAAAAAAAAAAAAAAAAGATTTTTAAAAAATCATAAAATTACATAATAATGTTCACTCTTTTAAGAATTTATTAATAGACTAAATTAATATATTTTACGAAATGAAATTAAAATTATTATTTTCTATTCATAAAATTATATTTAA